GCAATGTGGGACCCTTTGGGAGCTGGCTTAAGCTGGCAGGTGGACATCCCCAAAGGGGTCCTTAGCACTGCCTCAGGGTGGAAGAGGGTCCTGTCACCACCTCTGTGCTCATCAGCTGTGAGCCCGGCTTCTGGCCGAGTGGTGCTCCCCCTGTGGGAATGCACTGACCACCACGGTGCAGCTCTTGTATCGAGCGTCTGCCCCCTGGTGGTCAGTATGCATCACAGTGACCAGTCATTCCACCGTTCAGTTGATTTGCATATTAGGGTTTTATTATATAGGATAATAGATTTTAAAAGAAAAGCTATAACAAGAGATAGGAAAGGACACTGCTTAATGATAAGAAGAACACTTTAACAAGACCGGTATTAGCCTTGTAAACATTTACACACCCAATGTAGAAGCACCTAAATTTATAAAGCAAATATTGATGAACAGAAAAAGATAAATCAATAGTAATACAGTAATTGTAGGGGAATTTAATACCCCACTGATATGAATAGATCATTCAGAGAAAATCCACAAGAAACACTGGCCTTAAATAGCACATAGACCAGATAGATTTAATTGATATTTTCAGAGCATTTCATCACAAATCATCAGAATATACATTCTTTCCAACCACACATAGAATATTTTTTAGGTAGACCAAATATTGGGCCATAAAACAAGTCTCAATAAGTTTAAGATCACTGAAATCACATCAAGTATCTTCTCTGACCACAAAAGTATAAGCCTAGAAATTAATTACGAAGAAAAGGACCCCTGAAAAACACAAACATGTGGAAAGCTAAATGACATGTTACTAAACAATGATTAGGTTAACAATGAGATCAAGAGATAAATACCATGAGCAAATTAAAATGAAAACCTAACAATCCAAAAATATTAGACACAGCAAAAGCTATATTAAGGGAAATTTATAACAATACAGGCCTACTACAAGAAACAAGAAATACCTCAAGTAAAAAATCTAACCTTAGCCCTAGCTGGTGTGCTCACCCCCAAACCAGTATTATATGAAATGCTGAAAAGTATTCTTTAAGAAGAGGAAGAAGAAAAAGGTAAAGGTAAGAATTACGGAAATCACATACATATCAACAAGTGAATCTAAAAATCAAATAAAAAATCTGATGAACAGAATAATCTGGTGAATATAATAGAATCAGGGGCATAGAGAGTGAACTGACAATTCTTCGGGGTAAAAGGGTGTGGGGGGTGCAGGAATAGACTGGACAAAAACCGTACACTTATGGATGAGGACAATTGTGGGGGGAGGTGGTGTAAGGGCATGGGGTGGGATGGGAGCCATGTGGAGGGGAGCTATGGGGTGAAAAAAGAGGAACTGTAATAATCTGAAAAATAAGATTATTAATTAAAACAAAGGTATTAAGTAACCGAGGAGACAGACATCAGGGAGGGGAAAGCCATCAGATAGGAGAAAGGTGGGTGCAGGTGGAGCTGTGACGTTTGAGGGTCAGGAGCCCCTGTATCTCTGAAGAGGACGGGAATGACTAACTTTATGACTATATTGTAAACTAGAGGCCTGGTGCCTGAGATTGGTGCACGGGCAGGGGGTGGGGCGGGAGGAGGAAAGGGGAGAGGGGAATTAGTTCCTCAGCATAACCTGTGCCCTTGCAGTCCGGGACTCCTTGGGAGATGTCCACCTGCCGGCTTACACCTGACTTCCCCAGGGATCTTGCCTAGGCTGTTGTCAGACATTCCTCTCGCAGTCTGGAACCGCTTGCTCCTTACTGCCCACCTGAATCGGAGGCAGGAGAGGCTCCCATCGCCACGGCTGCTCTCCCCAGCTGTGAGCCCGGCCAGCCATAAGCCCGGCTTTTGGCTGAGAGGAGCTCCCCCTGCGGGAGTGCAGACCACCAGGGGCAACCCCAGCATTGAGCACCTGGCCCCTGGTGGTTAGTGTGCGTCAGAGCAAGCATTTGTTCAGTCGCTCGATCTGCGTATTAGACTTTTATTGTATAGGATGGTGCTGGCTTAGACTGTTATATGTTCAATCTTGTCTTTCTGGCTAAAACTAAACAATTATTGAGCACAGAGGTGTCTTTTATGCTAATTATCGGGTCTAGTAATAATTGTCGTTTTTAAACATTCTTTTAAAATCTTGCTTGGCGTTGACTTGTATTGACATAACCTTCAAACACGTGGTATCTACAGAACGTGTGAAGTGCAATTAACAAGTTTTGCTTGAAAAAGTTTGTGTTTGGTTTGTTTTTTGTTGCAAAACTAGGTAGGGCTAAGAAGATGGCGGATGAAGAGCATATTCGGCACTGCATGCTTTACGAGTTCCAATTAGGGAAAAAAACAAGTGAGGCTGCAAAAAACATCTGTAGTGCTCTTGGTCAAGATGCAGTTAGCGCCAGAAAATGCCAGTGTTGGTTTGAGAAATTTCACGAGGGAAATTTTTCGTTAGATGACAAGAGTGGTCGAGGCCGTGTGTCCAATTTTGATCAAGAAGCAATTCAAGCTCTTTTGGTGCAAAATCCTCAAATTACCCAACAAGAGCTTGCGACAACTTTAAATTGTTCACAAAAAACAATTTCCAATCAATTGTGTGCACTTGGCAAAGTCCAAAAGTTTGGAAAATGGGTTCCTCATGAGTTGACCAACAACAATCGTAATCAAAGAGTCACAATTTGCAGTTCGCTCCTCTCTCATCAAAACCGTTTGCCGTTTTTAGAGCAAATTGTTACCGGAGATGAACAATGGGTGCTGTATGTTAATTTGAAAAGGCGGCCTCAATGGTTGGACAAAAATGAGGCTCCACAGCCCACTCCAAAACCTGACTTGCATGCGAAAAAAGTGATGTTGTGTGTTTGGTGGAATTTTAAAGGAATTCTTCATTATGAACTTTTACCATATACCCAAACCATTACAAGTGCAGTGTATAGTGCCCAATTGGAAAGGTTAGCCCAAGCTTTAAGAGAAAAAGAACCCGCGCTGATTAATTGGAAGGGCGTAATTCTTCACCACGATAACCCACGACCGCATACTGCAAGAATCACTGCTGAAAAACTGCGCCAGTTGGAATGGGAAGTTCTCCCTCAACCTGCATATTCTCCTGATATTGCCCCTTCCGATTACCATTTGTTTCGTTCTTTGCAAAACTTTCTTCTTGGAAAAAAATTTAATAATGAAGAATGCCTCAAAAATGCATTGACCAAATTTTTTGCATCAAAATCACAAGAATTTTACAACAGAGGGATTAAAATGCTTCCTGAGCGTTGGGCACAAGTAGTAGAAAACAACGGCAACTATATTGTTGATTAAATTTTGTTGTATTGTTTAAATAAATTTGATTTTAAAAAAAGTATTAGACAACGACATTAATTATTACTAGACCTAATATGTTCCACTCAACACCTTACATGTACTAAAACCTTGAACATAGTGGTTTCCCAGTCATGTAAACTGATTGGTAGCATTTCATTACATAGGTGTCCCCAAAACATGTATACACACTATGTCTGTAGACTCTATTACATTTTGAAAATAAAATGTATTTTAATAAACATTGCCTTTATAATTGGCCAAAAATATTATGACTAGGGGAATAAAGGAATGGTTCTAAAATTTTCTTTCACAACATAAAAAGATATTAAAACTGAAAAGGCAACAGATTTTGATTATTTTTTATTATTATTTTTTTAAATATATTTTTTATTGATTTTATACAGAGAGGAAGGGAGGGAGATAGAGAGTTAGAAACATCGATGAGAGTCATCGATCAGCTGCCTCTTGCACACCCCCTACTGGGGATATGCCCGCAACCAAGGTACATGCCCTTGACCGGAATCGAACCCGGGTCCCTTCAGTCCCCAAGCCGACGCTCTATCCATTGAGCCAAACCGGTCCCGGCCAGATTTTGATTATAAGGCAAACTTAACTGCAGATATGAGAGGGCTAAGTCCTGATAACTATGTCCACAGTAATTTGAAAATATCATTATGTCGAAAATAGGTTTAGCCTCCCCAAAATCATAGCCTAACCTAGCCAATTTCTACTGAACGTGTATTGCTTTGGCACCATCGTAAGGTCAAAAAATTGTAAGTTGAATAATTTAAGTCAGAGACCATATGTACAGTTTTTATTCTATGAATAAATAACTTGAGAAAAAAAGTCAGTGCAGAAGAGGAAAACCACTTTTGTTATATTTCACAATTCTGAGAATTAGAAGTTTTAGAATTTTAAAATCTTTGTACTACAGAGCACAATATTGCCCACTATAATAAGTTCCATTCTCCAGTCATTACAATTTTTTTTTACCTTTTTTTTTCTTTACTCAAAAACATTTATTAAATGGAAAAGGAAACTAGATCAAGAAAATAAATTATTTTGTTTGAAATTGTTCTTATATATGCTTTCAGAGTCATTTAAATAAGACCATTTCCTTTGCACAAATTAAATTCACATGTTTCTTGAAATGAACAGAAACTTTGTTACCTTTGGAGAAGAGGACACAAAACTACTGACACAGGTATCATAGGCTTACAGTTTTAACAAAAAACTATGAGGCAATGACCAAATTACAATTTTGATTCGTTTGCTTTATTATTTTTATCTCCCTCAAAACTCTGCAGCATAGAGCCTATTTCAAATTCTTCTAACAGTCTACTTCATGAGTTACATGTGTACATACTGAATAAAGCAGATATACTGTGATTTTTAAGAAGTAAATCACTTTACATATTATAGGCTAGAGGCAGTTCAATGTAATGAGGAGGTTCTTATTCTGAAAAATCTGATGGCAATATTTTAAAGCTCAGATTACACAGGTTTATTAGCTCTTGGCTTGTTTCAAATATTACTGAGCTATACTTGAAACACATCTTCAACTCCACATTATTTATAGCTGTCCAATTATAAGGACTTCAGCAGTAAAATATGTGAAGTATGAAGAAGAATGTAATGTTGGTGACAAATGCTTTAGAACTCCAGGAATAAGGTTACCAAAAAGCAAAGTAAATCTAGAACAAGGAAAGGGAAGAAGATACATTTATTTAAAATAAAAATAGCAGACAATCTCTGATAATAAACAAAACCATTTATATTCCAAGTACATTCAATATACATTGTAACAATGCATATATATATTTAAAAAAGCCAAAAACCCAGTAACTTTATTAGAACTTTAGAAAGAAAAAAAAGTATTTTGATCCCCCCCCCCCGTCCCCCCCCCCCCCGCCCCGAGGTCTGCCCACAAACACAGCATGCTGGATCTGCGTGCCCTTTCAATGTTCTGTACAGCACAGTATTGCACAATGTGTGCGTTCCTTCTGTAAATACAGTTTTGAATATAGTTGCAGTTTCCTTAGGGATGATCCAGAACACGTGAGTGGTTCCATTTAATAAAAACCTTCGTAGGCTGGAAGAGCAGTGACAACCGTTTTCCTCGGTTTTAACAAAACGTACAAAATAAACTACTAAATCTAGATGTTTTCACATTATTTTGCATGAGTATTAAGCACAGTGTAAAATCTCAAGTTAGCCAAAACTAACGTTCTTTAAACTTTACATCAAAGTTTTTCTTCATTTTTTTTAGCATGGCTGATAAATGTTTTCTGTCACTCACTACTAATGCTTGTGAAACCAAAGAACTTGAAAAAGAATATGCAGTGATGAAGATCCAAAAATGTCACTGAATTTCAGTTTTAAGATACACACAGTTCCTGTTGGACAATGGACTGTGAGAGTTTACTATCTTCAGCCTTTTCGTGTCCTGGGGCATGGCAAGTAGTCTTCCGTTTAAATAATCTCAGACTCAATCGTAATAATTCATTGTCTACCATTGGAGCACTCGTGTAAGCTTGTTTTACCGTGCCCTATTTGGAGAAAACAGAACAAAACAAAAAAAATGTACATTAGTCGACAATAAAAAAGATTAACTTCTAACAAAAATATAGAAGTTATAAAAAATTAGTTGTATTGGGTATTTAACAGTACAATTAAGAAATGTTTTCAGACTTGAGAAATCTTATGAAAGAAAGCAATCTTTATTTATTTTTTATTGATTTCAGAGAAGGAAAGGGAGATAGAAACATCAAATGATGAGAGAGAATCATTGATCAGCTGCCTCCTGCACATCCCCTTCTGGGGATTGAACCCACAACCTGGGCAAGTGTCCTGACTGGGATCGAATCGTGACCTCCTGGTTTACAGGCTGATGCTCAACCATCGAGCCACACCAGCCAGGCAAGAAAGCAATCTTTCGAGGGCACGTGGTCTAACTTCTTACCTAATGTAGGAATCTAAACAATCCCTGACAAGTAACTGACTAGTGTTTACTTAATTTCTAATGAGGAAAAAAACAGAACAAAAACCCACACACTGTACAATCTAAGTTGAATAGTACTACTTCTTCTATATGTTGAAATAAAAATCTCTTTTATGGAGCCATACACTAACTCAATCTTACTTTTACATGATAAGCTTTTAATTCTCTAAAGAGAAGCACTAAACCTTCTACACTCCATAAGATGTGGGCTCTAGAACTGAATTAAGTCTCCCTTGAACTATTATAAAATGTATATCTCCATTACAGTAACTTAAAGCTACATTAGCATTTTTTGGAAGTTATTGTTATAAAATTTTGTTATGTTTATGTTCTCCAACCATGTGTATAATGAAGTAAAGTTTGAATATCTCCAGCCTTCTGCCATTTATTTATTTTTGCTAGGATCCTTAAAGGTACAGTGTATTCTTTGATCACATTTACATTTATAAAAATATAGGAAAACTGACTTTTTATGCATAGTTCAGTGAATTACTACTCATGCAAAATCATGACCACAGAGACATTTCATCACTGAAAAACACTCCGTTGGTTGCCTCCTTGTATTCACACCCTCTTTAATCCTTAAACCTTGACAAATAATAAGTATCTTGTTATTGTTCCAGAACATCTTATAAATGGAATCATACAGAATATATGATCTTTTAAAATTAGTTTCACTTCATCATAATGCCTTTGAAATTTTTCCATGTTGTTGATAGTACTAAAGGCTTGGTTATTTATTACCAATTAGTAAATCACTGTATGGAGGTGCTACTGCTTATGTATTAGCCAGTTCAACAACACTGGGCTTATTTCTAATTTTGGAGATAAAAATAGAGCTGCTATAAACTTTTATGAAAAGGTTTTTATATGAATGTAAATTTCATTAAAAACACACACACACACACGTTTTTATTGATTTTTAGATAGAGAGGGAGAGAAACAGAGATATTGATGAGAGAGAAACATCTATCAGCTGCCTCCTGCATGCTCCTATTGGGTATTGAGCCTGAATCCCAGGCATGTGACCTGACTGGGAATCGAACCAGTGAACTCTTGATGCATGTGAAGATGCTCAATCCACTAGGCAACAATGGCCAGACAAGTTTTCATTTTCTAAGGTAAATATATAGCAGCGGGATGGTTAAGTATACATTTACCCTTATAAGAAATAATGAAACTCTCTTCTAAAATACAATAGCTCTACCGTTTTGTATTGTCACTAGCAATACATTCTGCATTCTCACCAATTTTTTTTTTTTTTTTTAGCTATTTGTAATAGGTTGTTGATAATATCTGATTGAAGTTGTAACTGCAATCCCTAAAGCTAATGATGTTAAACATCTTTTCATGGGCTTATCAGACATTTCATATATCCTCTCTGATGAAGTATTTACTCATCTTTTACCCACCAAAAAAATTGGGTTGCTTGTTTCTTACTGTTAATTGTTGAGTTCTTTATATATTCTGGATACAAGTTCTTTTTCAAAATGTGATTTGCAAATATTTTCTTCCAGTATACTTGTCTTTACATTATCTGTCACAGAATAAAAATTTTAAACTTTGAAAATCAATTATCTCAAAATAAAAAAGTTTTAAGTTGACTGGTAATAAGTGTGTCGGTCTATTTCGGGATTCTGTTTTGTTCCATTGATCCAAGTATCTATTCCTTCACTAATACCACACCATTTTGAGTGCTGTGGCTTTATTTATTTATTTATTTATAAAAATCTGAACAATAAAGATTTACTTAAAAAAAAAGTGCTGTGGCTTTATAGTAAATCTTAAAATAGGGTAGTGTGCGTCTTTCCAACTTTATTAATCTTTTGTTCATCTTTAAAAATTATTTTGGCTATTCTAGTCGCTTTGACTTCCCATGTAAATTTTAGAATCAGCTTGTCTTTCTCCACAAAAAACCCCGCTGGAGTTTTTACTAGAACTGTGTTAAATCTGTGTATCAGCTTAGGAAGAATCACAATCTTAACTATATGGAGTCTTTCAATCTATAAATACAATATCTCTCTTTAGTTATTAGTCTCCTTTGATTTTTCACATCAGTGTTTTGTAGTTTTTAGCACACAGACCCTGAACATTTGGTTAGATTTATACTTAAGCACTGCTTTTTGGGGGAGCTGTTGAAAAGGGCAATTTTGTTTTCAGTTCAGTTCCTACATACAGAAATGCAATTGCTTTTTGCATCCTGTTTGTATCTCATTATCTTATAAGTTCTAAGAATATTTTTTAGTAAATTACTTTAGACCTTTTATATAGGCAGTTGTCTGTGATTAAGACAATTTTGTTTTCTTTCCAATCTGTATGCTTTTATTTCTTTTTCTTGCCACTACGACTTCCACTACAATGTTGAATAGGGGTGGTAAATCTCCTTGCCTCACTCCTGATCTCTGAGGGAAATCTTTCAAACTTTTACCATTAACCTGTTAACCGGGGAGTTCCCTTTTTAATTACGCAACGTACAACGGGTGCATACTCTTTCACTAGGACGTGTCAGTACGTCATGCCCAGTGGACGTAATTTTATATTATTCTTATTTTTATTTATACTTAAATATTACTATGTTAACTAAGGTTTTTTTGTAGATATTCTTTATAAGGTTAAGACTCCTTCTTATTCTAGCTAGTTGAGAATTTTTACTGTAAAGGAATGTTAAATTTTGTCAAATTTTTTTTCCTGCATCAACTGATATTGCCATGTATTTTTTCAAGTTTAAAATAGTAAACCAGCCTTTCATTCAAAGATAATGCACACTAGGTTGTGGTGGTGTATTCTTTTTATACATTGCTAACTTTGATGTCTTATCATATTTGAGGATTTTTATGTCCATGTTCATGAGAAATATTGATCTGCAGTTTTCTTCACTTACGATGTTTCTGACTGATTGCAATATCAGAGTTTTTCTGGCCTCATAAAATGTGTTGGAAAGTATTTCTGCCTCTTCAGATTTCTTAAGAAATAGTACAGAATTGGTGTTAATTTTTTCCTTAATGTTTAGTAGATTTTGCCAGTGAAACCATCTGGGACTGCAGATTTTCTTCTCAGGTTTTGAACTACAAATTCAATAATAATAATAAATAATAATAATAACAACAACAACAACAACGACGACGACATAGCACTCTTCAGGTTATCTATCACTTCTTGAGTAAGTTTTAATAGTTTGTAGCTTTTAGCAGAAACCGGTTTGGCTCAGCGGTAGAGCATCAGTCTGCGGACTGAAAGGTCCCAGGTTCGATTCCGGTCAAGGGCATGTACGTTGGTTGGTTGCGGGCACATCCCCAGTAGGGGGTGTGCAAGAGGCAGCTGGTCGATGTTTCTCTCTCATTGACGTTTCTAGCTCTTTATCTCTCTCCCTTCCTCTCTGTAAAAAATCAATAAAATATATTTAAAAAAAAATAGTTTGTAGCTTTTAGAGAAATTCTTTTCTTCTAAATTGTCAATTTATTTACATAGAGTTGTTTACTTACATAGAGTTGTTCACTTTATAGTACTGTCTGATCCTTTTAATGTTTGTGAGATTTGCAGTGATATTTCCTCTTTCATTGATATCGATAATTTGCGTTTTAATTTTCACTATATCATTATGCTTAGGGGATTGTCAATTTTATTCTTTTCAAAGAATCATCTTTTGGTTTCATGAATGTTCTCTAATGTTTTTCCAGTATGAATTTTATTGATTGCTGGTATTATTGATATTTCTTTCCTTTTGCTTGCTACAGATTCTGTACATTCTTTTAATACCACGATGCAGCTAAGAATTCTTTTAGTACCCTCACCTATCTTTTCTGCTATGAACTATTTAGATACTTTAAAAATCCTCCTCCTAAATATAATCATGCGATTTATGGGGGTGTTCAATGGTTTTCTAACTTTCTTTTTGTCCTTTGGTATCACTTACCTCCTATTCTGAACTTTTTGTTCAGTTAATGGCCTGTGCCCAGTAATAGAGTTCTGAACAATGGTTCTCATGCAATTTTCAGGGGCATTTTTAGTTATAAAAAAATTTGAAGCCATTATGGCATACTAGAGGAGGAAAACAGGGAATGTTACAGACTATTTTTAAAAAAATATATTTTATTGATTTTTTACAGAGAGGAAGAAAGAGGGATAGAGAGTTAGAAACATCCATGAAAGAGAATCATCGATCAGCTGCCTCTTGCACACCCCATACTGGGGATATGCCCACAACCAAGGTACATGCCCTTGACCGGAATCGAACCTGGGACCTTTCAGTCTGCAGGCCGATGCTCTATCCACTGAGCCAAACCGGTTTCGGCCAGACTATTTTTTAATAAAAAGGGGCAGGCCCTGGCCAGGTGGCTCAGTTGACTGGAGTGTCACCCATACACCAAAAGAGGTTGCAAGTTCAATTCCAGGTCAGAGAATAAACCTAGGTTATGAGTTTGATCCTTGGTGGGGGCACGTATGGGAGGCAACAAATCTATGTCTCTCTCCCTCTATCTCTGTCTCTCTCTCTCATCAATAAAAATATACCCTCAGGTGAGAAGAAAATAATGAGTAAATAAAAAGATACACAATTTTGATTAAAATCCATAGTCTTTCTCAAGTGGGGTTCCTTAAATGGACTAAACAAAAAATAATTTGAGTGATTATTTCTCATTTAAATACCAAGGATGATATAACTATTACCATTTTAGATGCATAAGAAATTGATTCAGCCTTAGCCAGTTGCTCAGTGGATAAAGCGTTGGCCCATGGACTTAAGGGTCAAAGATTTGATTGCAACACCTTGGTTGCAAGCTTATCACCAACACGGTTGGGGGATTCTTCCCTTCAATCAATGTTTCTCACATTGATATTTCTCTCTCTCTGTCTCTCGCTCTCCCTCCCACCCTCATTAAAAAATCGATGGAGCCCAGCTGGTATGGCTCAGGAGTTTAGCGTTGACCTATGAACTAGGAGGTCACAGTTTGATTCTCAGTCAGGGCATATGCCAGGTTGCCAGCTTGATCTCCAGTGTGGGGCATACAGGAGGCAGCCAATCAATGAATGATTCTTTCTTATCACTGATGTTTCTCCCTCTCCCCCCCCCCCCCACTCTCCTTTCCTTTCTCAAATCAATAAAATATATTTTTTTAAAAAAACAATGAAAAAAATATCCTCGGGTGAAAATTAAAAAAAAAGAAAGAAGAAGTTGACTCAGTATATACAGGTCTAGGGCACTAGCACTTGATTTTCACAGAGAAATTTCCAGTAGAGGAAGGCTGTAAGGAGAGATGAGCACTTAAGCAAAGGGATAAAGAGTACTAGGTATATACTGAAATGGGAGTGCAAAGGAGAATACTGTAGCAACTCTGTCGAAAGTAATTTTCAATCAGGTCTTAAGCAGAGAAGAATTTAAAATTTTCCAATTCCTTATATGTTTCCATTTTAACATTTAGAGATGAATTCATCCCTCTCTTTCTTATAAATGTAATGTCCTCCATAAATCTGAGTACTTTCTTTAACTAAGTATCCTTTATTTATTTATTTATTTATTTTTTAAATCAATCTTTATTGTTCATATTATTACAAAGGTTCCTCATTTCTTCCCCCCTCCACCAGGTTCTCACCCCACCCTCCGGCCCCTTCCCCTCCCCCATTGTCCTCATCCATAGGTGCACAGTTTATGTTCAGTCTCTTCCTCCCTGCCTTTCCCCGATAGTAAATCCCTTTTCAGATAGTAAATCAGTTCTAAGTATCCTTTATTTAGCAATGCTTTCCTTAATGTTTCCAAGTAAAATTTAACAAATTAAATGTTTACCTAAATTTTTAGGATAACTCTCTTTTGTCACACTGCCCATGCCCACCAAATCACATCCCCAAATTAAAGTCCCAGTTTCTTAGTTTCAAAAAGTCTAAAATATTTTCAATTTCTTATGACCAGATCCCTTTTCAATCTAAACTAATTTCTATTTCTCTCATATTTCAATTCCTTTTTGTCTTCTCAAGTAAATGCTTACATATAATCACTTGTATTTATTTCCCTCTCTTCCAACTTGATACACTGTCATAAATAATATTTCTATAAATATTCTCACCATATTCTGGGGAATATTTTTCCTTAACCCTCAATTTAAATAAATTTCTAGTATTTTTTTTTTTTTTTACAGAGGAAGAGAGAGAGATAGAGAGCTAGAAACATCGATGAGAGAGAAACATCGATCAGCTGCCTCTTGCACACCCCCTACTGGGGATGTGCCCGCAACCAAGGTACATGCCCTTGACCAGAATCGGAACCTGGGACCTTTCAGTCCACAGACCGATGCTCTATCCACTGAGCCAAACCAGCCTCGGCAATTTCTAGTATGTTTTATTATCTAAAGAAACTTTTTCACAATGAAATGAAAAATATTTAAAGCAATCAAATGAAAGGCATATAATTCATAACACTCAACGAACACTTTGCAATTTGTACCAAAATAATAATACCTTCTCGTTTTTAACAAGCTGCTTTCGGATTGCAGAATCCCGTCTGAAGCATAACGCTTTACAACATGGCCCAAGATTACTAAGAAGACTTGCTCTTTCTTCTTTTCGTAGTAATGCAGCCATATTGAGAGCCCCCAAATCATGTTCAAAAAGATTGTCTGCATCTTTTAAAAACCAAAAACACACATTAAGTTTTCCTAAAATATAAAAATAATACCAACTGCTTAGATGAATATTCTACAGTCTGTACTTTATCAGTAACCAACATTGATGAAAATTATTTTATATTAAAGGCGATATATTTTCTGTGAAAGTCATTGAATGTAGTTTTGTTGCAAGATAGGGAAACATTATTTCCTTATATTTCCAATGATTCTCTCTCTTATATTCAGCATCATATATCAGCTCTCTAAAGCAATCATAGCAAAATACTGGACTGACTGGTAAAGAACAGTCAAATCCCTCTCTACAGTGTGCATTTTCATTATTGAGAGTAAGCCAAGGTCAAACTGTACTACTATGTTATAGTTAGCAAAATTAAACTAGATTTTAACTTAAAATGCCATTTGTAAGTCACAGGAGTCAATAACTTCAGAGGTGGATAAGACCTTAGGGGTTTCATTTCATCATTTTTGTTCATAGCAGTTATAATACTTGCTTAAGATCACAACGAGCAACCAAAAATGGTAGAAAGAGTAGAACAATAACCTAAGACTTTGATCACCTGTCAGGCTATACATACTCACAATTATAATTTATATATGTTTCATAAACATACATTTCTATGTTTACTGAAAAATATTAAAATCAAGAGTTTTACTGATTATGCTAGCAGCTGAAAGAAAGGACATGGATTCATAAAATTCTTAAAAACATTTTTTATATTAATAAAAAGCTTAATTCTTTTAACTAAACTTGTTTATTCTCATGAACATTATATAAAAGTAAATAATGTTACTTTCATCTTTTATCTCCTTTCCACATGCCCTCCTCATTTTGGTCTTGATAAGGTCTATAATCAATGTGATAAAATAGTTTCAAATTAAAGAGTAGCAGTTAATATTTATTGAGTGCTACAACACATCAGGAACTGTTCTAAGTATTTTACTTGTAATAACTCATATGCTCCTCCTAACAATCATATGCAGTTGGTGGTGTCATTGTTCCCAGCTTAAGATGGTGACACTAACACAGAGATGGAACAATAGCTACTAAGTGCTGCGTCTATTGGAATCCAGACCATTTGGCCCAGAGACCCAGTTTTTAACAACTTTGTTCAAGGTTCAACCTACACAACTGTATTTGGGTAGAATTCCCCATATCCCAGAAAAAAGGATTGCCAAGACATCCAATTTGCTTAGATATAGAGATATCTAGTCTTCTCCCATAGGCTCTGCTTCATTTAGCCCTGGTTAAACCACTGAGTATTTTGTTCAAAGAAATTTTGATATAGAAAGATAATTATGCTATTTTTACAACTTTTCTATGAGCTTAAGTTTTTATCAAAATAAATTTAAGAAAGAAATTCTCGGGGGATAAAGATAGATATATAATACCTTAATCAATCAATAAATTAAAATGCAAAAAAAAAAAATTCTCACCATGAGAATTAAATAATGAGTGATTCCTCAAAAAAGAAAAAAAAAAAAAAGAAAAAGAAAAAAAAGAGAGATATACCCAATATTATTAATGCTACATAAAGAGAACATAATCCTTTTTAAAGGCATCTTAGTATTTATCACACATAGTGTTCAATCAAAGTAGACTAGAATTACCTTTGGGTTTTTCTAAGAGTCTCTGACATGTTTCTTTGACTTTAGTAAAGAGTTCAGAACCTGCCAGTTTTTTAGAAATCCCAACTCTCAGCATAACAGCTCCAGGTGTGAATTTTAAGAGTGCAGCCCCAGGCTCTCGTGGTTCCTTTGGATGCTTTGGCATAAGACCAGACCAATCCACATCTATCACATCTAATGGATCTGTAAAAAGTTACACAACAGGACTATTTTTACACCAAGAAATAGTATACTTGTTATCTAGAGAGAAATAGAAATTGCAAAATATGGAAAACCATTAAATAATACTTTAAACCAAAAATGCCATATTCTTAAGATAAAAGCTTTCTATAAATCCTCATATTTAGAATCTAAGGACCTTTACAAAAAACAACAACAACAAAACTTTTTAACCAAAAGAAAACAGGCAAGCAAACAAAAACCCAAACAAACTCATTCCTACAAACTGCTTGAGAGATCCCAATGAAAAAATTCCATTATTTCACAAAGAATAATAGGTCTGACATTTTAAAACTTGGTATCAGACTCCTTTCACAAGTTAAATGTAGGAATCTACTTTGCATTCATGTGCAAATACACATGCATGCACACAAATTTTACTTTTTAAAAACAAATAATTCATTATGAAATTACTTTATAATTCAGGCATTTGCTTTTATAAGTATTAAGAACAAATAATCCATCTATAATAAGGAGTAGTTGAGCAAATTAATAAAATAATGTCCTATTTAGAAATACACAGTAGCCAGTAATAAAGATAAAAATCAAATGTAATATTCTCATTCTCAGACAAAGCAAAGACCCTACTATGATTAAAAACAAATTCCAAAACTTTTTATTAACAACCAGACTAAATGGGGTGATTGATACAGTCAACAGAGTAAGATCTGGCAAGGCATAAAGTGGTGTAAGTGAAAATAATTACTGAATTTAAAAATTGTAGAGAGAGATATAGAAATAGTGCTCAAATATAATTTCAACTCTTATAAATTTCTAAACATTCATTTCCAAAGTTGGTTTATGGCACTACAGTTGTGAAGCTCTGTATCATATATACCTACTATCTAGAATACTGCCAGAAAACCAGGACTATTTGGCTAGATTCCAAGTTATATAAAATATAAACTCTGAAAAGGAAATCTTACAATTTTGCTATTTTAAATGAGGCCTTTCCCAATTCAAAGGCAAAGGCTACTTAAAAATTCATAGGGAGCCGGGCTGTAAGGCGGAACCCCGGGGAAGTGGCGAAAGGAGGTCCCAGCGGTGCGCACACTGCGCACAGAGAAGGGACGGTCGGCTGTGCCGCGGGATTGCCCTGACGGGAAGGAGACTGGGGCTCCAGACTGCTCTAAACGCCACCTCCAACTCCACTTCCAACTGAACTGAACCCCAATACCGGGCTCATTGGGGGAGAGCATAGACTGTTTGGCAGCAGGCGAAAATCGAGGGCACCTTTCTCTCAGAGGTGCTGGCAGCGAGCACTGAAGGACCCGCAGAGGGCGGGGCTGACGGAAGCCAAAGCTGCAGGCTCCACCCTGAAACCCCGTCCCATCAGTAACTGTGAAATGCGACAACAAAATAGATCACAAACGAAAGAAATGGAGGACAAAAAGCGTCTGGATATAGAGTTCAAATCTACGCTTATAAGGTTTTTCAAGAATTTCCTAGAAAAGATGGATAAGGCCTATGAGGATATGAAAAGAGATCAACTAGAATTAATAAGGAGTCATCGAGAAATGATAAGGGATCAACAAGAAATAAAGAATACATTGTCTGAAATAAAAAATATTTTACAGAGTCCTAAAAACAGAAGGGAAGATCACAAGAATCAAGTCAAAGATTTGGAACATAAAGAGCCAGAAGACACTCCTCCACAGAAGCTAGAAGGCAAGAGAATCCAGAAAATTGAAGATAATGTAAGAAACCTCTGGGACAACTTCAAGCGAACCAACATCAGAATTATTGGGGTCCCAGAAGATGAAAGAGAGCAAGATATCGAAAACATACTGAAAGAAATAGTGACAGAAAACTTCCCCCACCTGGTGAAAGAATTAGACTTACAAGTCCAGGAAGCACACAGAACTCCAAACAAAAGGAATCCAAAGAGGACCACACCGAGACACATCATTATTAAAATTCCAAGAGCAAAAGACAAAGAGAGAATATTAAAAGAAGCAAGAGCAAAAAAGGTAGTTACCTATAAAGGAGCACCTATACGATTGTCAGCTGACTTCTCAACAGAAACCATGCAGGCCAGAAGGGAATGGCAAGAAATATTCAAGGTGATGAATAGCAAGAACCTACAGCCAAAAATAATCTACCCAGCAAAGCTATCACTTAGAATCGAAGGCCAGATAAAGAGCTTCACTAATAAAAAAAAGCTAAAGGAGTTCATCACCGCCAAACCAGAATTATATGAATTGCTGAAGGGGATTCTTTCAGAAGAGAAAGTAAACAAAGATAAAAATTATGAACAACAAATACGTAACTATCAACAAGTGAATCTAAAAAACAAGGAAATTAAAAAAATCTGATGAACAATAGTAACTGTTGAATATAATAGAATCAGAGGTATGGAAGGGGAGTGAACTGACGATTGTTGGGGAAAAGGGGAGAGGGGGGTGTGGGAAGAGACTGAACATAAACTGTGCACCTATGGATGAGGACAATGGGGAGAGGGGAAAGGGCAGAGGGTGGGGTGGGAACCTGGTGGAGGAGAGCAATGGTGGAGGGGAAAAAAAGGAACATTTGTAATAATATGAACAATAAAAACTTATTAAAAAAAAAAAATGAATACAGCATTTTATTGACTATTATTGACAATTACTACAATTTTCATTTTATTGGACTGTCAATGTTACTTCAAAATAAAGGGGGAAGTCCAAATTGACTTTACTTTATTTAATTCTTATAGCATTAAAGGGAACAAAAATATCTTCATACCATAAATCATATAATTTTTTTTGATCAACCACCTCTGCAAATGATTACCTGGCATCTTCTCCTCATCCTGCTGGTCTTCCCTCTTTTCAGCATCACCGGCCAGAATTTCATCGAGTTCATCATCACTGATTGGCTCATATCCTTCTCCAGCACCTGATCCTAATGAATGTGCATCATCTAACTTGGATTCATCATCTCCTGCTAATTAGAAAAATTAATCTCATGTCAAAAAGAGTGTTAAGGAATAATTTAATTAAAAAAAAAAGAAAAGAGCACATTAAAAAAATAAATAAATCTAATGGACTCCAAAAAAAGAAAAGAGTGTTAAGGGAAAGAATGTCTAAGTCAAATCAAAGATGTAGAGACTGTGTCACTAAAAAAAACCCAAAAACCCAGAAAAGTATTTTCACTAGAAAATGACATTTTTTAATTATTCAAAACACTTGAATAAAAAAACTGAAAAAATAGTTAAATTTCATTTTAATTGCAAGAACATAGAGACAGCCATATCAAAATAGGTTAAAATATGTGAAATAGAAGCTAACATGTTGCTGAGACCGGTTTGGCTCAATGGATAGAGCGTCGGCTTGCGGACTGAAGGGTCCCGGGTTCGATTCCGGTCAAGGGCATATACCTTGGTTGCGGGCATATCCCCAGTAGGGGGTGTGCAAGAGGCAGCTGATCGATGACTCTCTCTCATCGATGTTTCTGGCTCTCTGTTCTCTCTCCCTTCCTCTCTGTACAAAATCAATAAAATATATTAAAAAAAAAAAAAAAGCTAACATGTTAATGTTGATTATATAACATAATTTTATATAGTAAAACTTAAGTAAATTCAGACAAATAGACTAACTTCAAAAGGATGTATTGATTGCTTTACTTAAACTCATGTTTTTTATTGGTTTTTAGAAAAAGCAAGGGGGAGAGGGGAGAGAGAAACACTGATGTGAGAAACATCAGCAGGCTGCCTTCCCACACGGGCCCTGACTGGGATCGAACCTCCAATCTAGCTATGTGCCCTGACCAGGAAATCAAACCTGAAAACTTTTGGTGTATAGGATGACACTCAAATCAACTGAGCAAAACTCATTAGTTTTTTTAAAAACTTGCAAATCTGTTAATAAAATCGAGCTCATATAAATGACTTTATAGCACTGAGGTAAAAATGTAAAAGTGCTATCAATTCTCCCCCTATATCACAATTCACCTTCCCTATCCTAACATTATTCTTTAATGAACATAATTTTATAAAGAATGCTGTAATATAATTTTAACACATATTCTACTTCTTGATTTTATCAACTTTTCTCAACCACCTACACCCCTAGTGAGTTAGCTGTGAACTTATTCTAAGATTACAGAGTACATTTAATGTTTCTAATCATTGGTTATCAATATCCTTTGTTAAGTTTACAATACTAGTTTTCAAAATGCAACAGTATGCTTTATAAATATTTGCAGCAAATAAAATATAATAAACTATGAGATATTCCTAAGCATTCTAATATTTTTCTATTCTATTAACTTCTGTAATAATCTCTCTGTACCCTCACCAATTCACTTCTAAGATAACCAATTTTATTTTATTTATTTAAAAATATATATATTGATTTTTTTTTTTTACAGAGAGAAAGGGAGAGGGATAGAGAATTAGAAATGTCATGAGAAACACTGATCAGCTGCCTCCTACATACCCCCTAATGGGGATGTGCCTGCAACCAAGGTACATGCCCTTGACTGAAATCAAACCTGTGACCCTTCAGTCCACAGGCTGATGCTTTATCCACTGAGCCAAACCAGTTAAGGCAAGATAACCAATTTTAATATCTTCATTATATAAATACTAGTGGCCTAATGCACGAATGAAGATTCGTGCAAGAATGGGCCTTCATTACCCTGGCTGCTGGCACTACCTTGGCTCTGGCTGAGCTGCCTTTTTGCCCTCCCATGCTGTCCAGAGCGGCTGGGGTGGTGTGGACTGCCTGTGTCGTCACCACTCGGTGCCTGCAAATGGAAATTAACCCACCATCTTTGTTGGGTTAATTTGCATACATGCTCCTGATTGGCTGGTGGGTGTTGTGAAGGTACTGTCAATTAGCATGTTAATCTTTTATTAGGTAGATTCGAACAGTAGGATTTTTCAATTTTCAAGTTTATCCAACTCATTTTCCTACTATAAGTGAATAAAAATGTTTCATCTCACAGTAGGTAATTCAACTATGTATTTCTATGCTATGTTATCAATGGCCACAACCAATGAATGATGTAGTTTTAAAAAAGGGTCACAAGAGAACTATTATAATGAATAGTTTACATACTTCCATGAGTATTATGGCTCCCGAACTGATGATATCTGAACTCAAAATTGAGAGAAAAATGTAATTGAAGAACGCTGAGTGTTTTTGTCAAGTAGAAAATGTGTAACAGATAACATATTGGAATATTAATTCAGATAACCAAAAGATGTAAGGATGTTTCATTTTAAAAGAATGTGAATTTTACTCTGGGCCCAATGCTACAAGATGGCCAATAAAATACTACTGTTTATATACTATGTATACCAGAAGTTTCTTGAAGTAGACAGATTACGAGAGAATGGTGTAAACATTGGTATCAGAACTAGACAGTGCCATAGAGATAGAATTTCCAGAAGATCTCTCATGGGGAGTCATAACTATTGTTACCTAGGCTATAATTTACCAAAGGATAAAATGTAGGGCATGTATGTATACTCAAAATACATTTTCACTTATCTATCATTTATTGTGTCCTTGCTATAGTATCGAAGATAAAAAAATGAAAAGCTAAGATCCCTTAAAATTCTGGAGAGAAATCCAAGTAACCAAGGGGTTGAGGGTGAGGGCAGGATTGGGGGGTGGGGGTGGGAGATGGTGAGGCAACGCGGGGATAAGGACACACTTGTAATACCTTATCAATAAAAGAAAGAAAAAAATAAAAAGAAACAAAAACCTTATGTTACTTTATGAAATCTATTTTTCCTTAAAACAATGTGGAGTCAGCAGGTTACTTTTTAAAACAATGGTTTTCTATAAAATCTGAACAGGAAAGGAGCAGTACAACAGACAATAAGGTGTGACTCACCTTCCAGACTCTCAGTTCTTCCAGCTTTATTTATATCTTCAAATCCCTGTATGGAAGCTAGATCTTTATCCATTCTTTCTTTATCCAAAGCTACAGAGTCTCGAGAAGTGCCTTCTAGGTCTCTTTCATGTTCAGGCTCCACTTTTGCTTCAATGCGTTTTATAGACTCTGTTTGAGAACTATCAAAAATTCTGTCTCTGTCTCTGTCCCTTTCCACAGAATCAGAAATTAGTCTCTCTCTTTCCCTGTCCATGTCTCTCCTTTTGTCTCGGTCTCTCTCTCGTTCCCGTAATCTATCTCGGTCCCTGTTACGCGACCAGTCTTTATCAGCATCTCGATCCCATTCTCTCTGCCTTGCATCTCTCCTCTCTCTTTCCCTGTCTCTCTCGTGCTCATACCGATCTCGTTCTTGAAGCCGATCTCTGCTATCAAATGACCCAGATCTTGAATGAACTTGTCGATCTGACTCAGGAGAACTTCTTCTTGAACTATGGCTTCTTGAATCTTGGCGATCTAAAATAAATATATTATACACAAAGAGTTAACATAAAATAGTCATAATATGCTTCATTTTAGGGTCCTTTAAACGTTATAATTTATGTTTTTCTATATTTATTCCCACTATCCAAAGAACTCATGTAAGGAAAAACTATGTCTCAAAGTGCTAACTAATATGTAAAACACATGTTTTCTTGTCCATTATCACTATAACCACAAAATATCGTCAAAGAAATAAGTACATAAAATGATCACACATTAACAGAATCATCACTTCATTATCTGATCTCTTCCTACCCCCCTACTTTATTCTCTGTGGTCAAAAGAGAATGAACTAGCTCTTGGAAGAGCAGAAAGGTTAAAATTTTAGACATGAAAAAATGATTTGAATACATAAGCCCTTTCACCAACATATACTACTAAAATATCGATATTAAGCAGACTGACATCACTGAATGTACCTTTATTATAATATTGACATTAAAGTGGTAACAGGTAACATTTTGGAGGGATGGTTAAACTTCTAACTAAGTTCCTTGTAATTTAGGGCAGTGAGTGAAGTAATAAATTTAGCATTTACTTTAAAATTATAATTTGTACAAAATATGCTAACACAGGAACCACCAGCTAAATTTTGTTACCTGAAGAAATACTTCGACTGGGCTCTCCACGCTTTAACTGATCAATCCTTGATTTTCTCTCTCCTGAGACTTCCAAGCTTTTTGTTTTTTCTCTGTCTCTTGAGCCACTATGCAGTACTCTCTTTCGACCACTTTGGTCATCTCCACTTCGATGGGCCGAATCACTGGACGGGGAACGTAGACGACCAGATGTGTGACTACGATTACTGCGATTGCTCCCAAGGCTGCTGCTCCTCTTTTGATCCACTGGTTTGCGATGTGATGCATCTTCTATAGTAACATGAGGTGCCTCTGCTTTTTCAGCTCGTGTTTTATGGCATTTTCTATGAGAGTCTTCACTCGTATTGGTGGGGATGACAGAAGTGGAAATAGCAGTGGTACTCGGGCTGAAGGTGCTGATAGCAGTAGCAGTAGTGGCAAGAGAAGCAGCAGTGGTCACAGTAGGAGCTGTAGCCACAGGAGGAGGAGGAGGGGGAAGGGAAGATGGAGAAGTAGTCCTTCCAGGAGCTGTGGTCGCATGCTCTGATTCTGTCAACTCTGCCCGGTCAGGCACATCCTCATCAGACCAGTCACTAAAAGCTGTATCTTCTTTTCTCTGAGGATCTTCTATAGTCAAATCCTTATCATTGGAAATTTCAACCAATCCTTCTTTGGTTGTTATAGGGGGAGTTCGGGGGCCTCTTTTCTTCTTACTCTGCTGGACTGCTTCTTCATCAGAAATATCAGAATCACCTCTAGACCTCTTATGTTTTTTTTCAACACTTTTCTTCTTCTGTCCTTTTTTTGGTGAAAATACTTGACCATCTTCAGATGCTATCTCTGTGTTAGTCCTCTCTATTCCAACATCATCCTCTTTTTTTTTCTTAATAGGTTTCTTTTGAAATTTTGCTTTTTTCTTATTTTCATCATGAGCTCCATCAGATGTATCCCGGTCTTCTGATGGGTGGTGTCCTAGCATGTCTTGTGCTCGAATTCTTGAGCTTTCTGTGATTTCTGTCTGTTCTCTCTGTTTATCTAAAGAAGAAACTTTCTCTTTGAGCTCTTGCTCTTCATAGCGTCTTGAACTCTCTTTTCTTTCTGGTTTACGATCTTCCTCTTTCCATCTGCCCTGCCTGTCTTCTGGAAAGTGTGATGGACTAAGAGAATGAGATTCTTGAGGTCGTACAACCTGGCTCAAGAGTCTGTGTCGTTCATCTACTCAAACAGATAAAAGTAATTACACTTTCACCAAAGTAAACTTTTAAGTAACATATAACTAATAATAAGCCAACTTTAGTTTCATTTTAAAACTTGAAAAATGGCAATCATTTTAATAAAAATTAAAATACAGCTTTTCTGCAAATGGTAGGAAATGACAGTTCCATTGTGATAAAATAACTATTTCTAACACATATTTTAATCACACTAAAGACATTCAGAGAAAGCAAAATAAAAAAATTTATATCTGAATTCATCACTTCCTACTAAAGTCAAAGAGAAGTCTTATGGTTACAAATGAATATGAATATAGAAACATAGAAAACAGACTCTGCTTACTTTTATCATCACCACTGTTGTAGTTGTCACTGTCAGGAGAATGTTCTCGTCGCCGCTTAGGTGACTGACGAGGGCTAGGACTCCCTTCATTTCTATAGCGTTTCCTAAGTTAGACAAAAAAATATATTTCATAAAATTCTAGAAGTTGTAAAGAGATTTCTTTAATATGTTTTTTTAAAAATATATTTTATTGACTTTTTACAGAGAGGAGGAGAGAGGGATAGAGAGCTAGAAATGTCAATGAGAGAGAAACATCGACCATCTGCCTGCCTCTTTTTTTTTTTTTTTAATATTTTTTATTGATTTTTCAGAGAGGAAGGGAGAGGGACAGAGAGCTAGAAACGTTGATGAGAGAGAAACATCGACCAGTTGCCTCTTGTACACCCCCTTCTGGGGATGTGCCCACAACCAAGGTTCATGCCCTTGACCGGAATCGAACCTGGGACCTTTTAGTCTGCAGACCGACACTCTATCCACTGAGCCAAACCGGTTTCAGCTAATAAGTTTTTTAAAAACATTATTCTTCCATTATCCTATATAATAAAGAGCTAATATGCAAATGGTCATCACAACCTCATGGCTCAAACAGTTAACACTGGGGAGAGAGGAATGGGGACCAGCCAGGCTGTGGCCGGGGAAAGGGAAAAACTGCAGTTCTGGGCTCCAGTGGCTGCACCTGTGCCTGCAGCCCAGTTCAGGAGAGGGACAAGCTGCCTGCCCCAAAGGCCCTGGCGCCAATGCATGTGGCCCAGGAGAAGGACAAGCCACCTGCCCACAATCCCCTACAGTTGTGGTCATCCAGGTCGAAGCCACCCAGGGTCCTGGTTGCCTACAGCCAGCCAGTGGGAGGGAAGCCCAGGTCCTGGGTGCCTGTGACTGGCCAAAGGAGGGAATCCTGGTTCCCAGGTGCGGGGCGAGGCAGTTAAGGGTGACCAGGCTGGTAGACAGAGGTGGTTAGGGGCAATCAGGCAGGCAGGCAGCAGGCAGAGAGGTTAGGGGCAATCAGGCAGGCAGGCAAGCAAGCAGTTAGGAACCAGAGGTCCCGGATTGTGAGAGGCAGTCGGACATTCCCCAAAGGAAATTGGAGAGGGTGCAGGCCGGGCTGAGGGACACGCCCTTCCGTGCACTGGGCCTCTAGTACTAGAATAATTGTAGGATAGCAATATTGTCAGCGCTACATCATACAGTCAGCATTTTTTTTTTCTTTTCTTTTCCCAAAATATATTTTATTGATTTTCTGCAGAGAGGAAGGGAGAGGGACAGAGAGTCAGAAATGAGAGAGAAACATCGACCAGCTGCCCCCTGCATACCCCTTACTGGGAATGTGCTTGCAACCAAAGCACACGCCCGTGACTGGAATCGAACCCGGGACCCCTCTGAATGCAGGCCGACGCTCCATCCATTGAGCCAAACCAGTCAGGGCTATACAGTCAGCATTTTAAATAAAATGAAACACTTAATTTGCTACGACTTATAATTATAAACTTAAAAAAATACATAGCAACACATCTTCCTTTCTTCATTATACATGTAGAATCACTCAACTGAAAATCACCAGATATAAATACTGCAAGATGGAAAGCACACAGCCTAGGAATCAAAATATTCACAAGCCCTCTACTAAAATTTATTAATTAATTTTATATTTTTATACTGTTAGGAAGCCAAATGAAAACAATATTAGCTTTAAAGTCAAAAGACAAGTTAAACTTATAGCCATGTTACTTATTATACATCCTTAGGTATATTCCTTAAAGTCGTTGAATTTTAGCTTTCTCACCTGAAAATGTGGGGGAAAAACAAGAGTCCATACCATAAAATTGTAATGAGGACTAAATTAGTTATGTCATAAGCGCAGTGCCAGGCATGTTATGTAAAAATTAGTTCCTTTCCTCTTCTTAGAACTAAAGCACTTGCTTGGTGAAAATTAATAAAATAATTCATATATTCATTATCTTTCTTGTTCTTCCATTGAATTTTAAATGAGTAGTGATAAATATCTGAGTATTTAAGTAATTCTGGTGTTTTCCTTTATGTTCATTAAATTTTGACACACTATTTTTTAATAACATTGTTAATAAATTCTATGTTCAAAAGTTGTGATACATATTATAGCAGTTATTTCCTTGATAGCTCATTCTTATAATGAGCAAACCAGGTGGAGGAGGAGGCCTCAGATGTAGTATGACAATTTACAAACCCAACTTTGTGCAATTCATTATCTGAAGTGCCTCCCATCATCAGGCAGTGTACTTTCCCATTCTTTGAATCTAGGCTGGCCCAGTGACTTCCCGTGACAAGAGAATGTTGTGAAAGTGAAGCTGTATAAGTTTGGAGAGATAAGAAGCAAGAGGCCTTGCAGCTTCTGCCGGCTTGGTATGTTTCTACCATCAGATGTAAAAGCAGAGTTTAGGTTATTGGTGCATAAAAAGTCATATGAAGGAAAAATGAGATGGCCTAGCAATTGCCAGACATGAGAGTAAGGCCATTTGGAGTCATTCAGACCCAAGTGAACTGCCATAATGACTATAGAAACATGACTGATCCCAAGTGAAACCAGCAGAACTGCTCTGCTGAGCTCAGCCAAAATTGCTAATCCACAGAATCATGAACAAAAAAGTTGTTGTTTTAAGCTAAAGCAAGAGATTACTGGTACACTAGAATAAAGTGAAAATTTAAAACATAGATCTTAATTTCAAAATAATATCTACAGAAACAAAAGTAAAATAAATACTATGGCAATTCTGCAAATCTTCTATATAATAGTGGTTAAAAAAGTGCTGGATAAGTTCAACTAATGAGATGACAATACAACTGATGAAGATACCAACTTATTAACTTCATATAATAAATAGTTACTGAGGTCCTTATTAATGATTGGATTGTCTAGTCAAAAAAACAAAAACAAAAAAACACACAAGAAATTTTTGCTATTATAAGCAGAGAACAGAAGCCTGGAAAAATATTAATCAAAGCATAGGACTGCATATTAAACACAAAATACATTTCAGAATTTTGATATTAAAAAAGAGCTAATGAGGTCAGAGGAGATATGAGAAGTGATATGTATTAGGTCTAGTAATAATTAATGTCGTTTTCTAATACTTTTTTAAATCGAATTTATTTAAACAATACAACAAAATTTAATCAACAATATAGTTGCCGTTGTTTTCTACTACTTGTGCCCAACGCTCAGGAAGCATTTTAATCCCTCTGTTGTAAAATTCTTGTGATTTTGATGCAAAAAAATTCGGTCAATGCATTTTTGAGGCATTCTTCATTATTAAATTTTTTTCCAAGAAGTAAGTTTTGCAAAGAACGAAACAAATGGTAATCGGAAGGGGCAATATCAGGAGAATATGCAGGTTGAGGGAGAACTTCCCATTCCAACTGGCGCAGTTTTTCAGCAGTGATTCTTGCAGTATGCGGTCGTGCGTTATCGTGGTGAAGAATTACGCCCTTCCGATTAATCAGCGTGGGTTCTTTTTCTCTTAAAGCTTGGGCTAACCTTTCCAATTGGGCACTATACACTGCACTTGTAATGGTTTGGTTAGATGGTAAAAGTTCATAATGAAGAAATCCTTTAAAATTCCACCAAACACACAACATCACTTTTTTCGCATGCAAGTCAGGTTTTGGCGTGGGCTGCGGAGCCTCATTTTTGTCCAACCATTGAGGCCGCCTTTTCAAATGAACATACAGCACCCATTGTTCATCTCCGGTAACAATTTGCTCTAAAAACGGCAAACAGTTTTGACGAGAGAGGAGCGAACTGCAAATCGTGACTCTTTGATTACGGTTGCTGTCGGTCAACTCATGAGGAACCCATTTTCCAAACTTTTGGACTTTGCCAAGTGCACACAATTGATTGGAAATTGTTTTTTGTGAACAATTTAAAGTTGTTGCAAGCTCTTGTTGGGTAATTTGAGGATTTTGCACCAAAAGAGCTTGAAGAGCTTCTTGATCAAAATTGGACACACGGCCTCGACCACTCTTGTCATCTAACAAAAAATTTCCCTCGTGAAATTTCTCAAACCAACGCTGGCATTTTCTGGCGCTAACTGCATCTTGACCAAGAGCACTACAGATGTTTTTTGCAGCCTCACTTGCTTTTCTTCCTAATTGGAATTCGTAAAGCATGCAGTGCCGAATATGCTCTTCATCCGCCATCTTCTTAGCCCTACCTAGTTTTGCAACAAAAACCAAACCAAACACAAACTTTTTCAAGCAAAACTTGTTAATTGCACTTCACACGTTCTGTAGATACCACGTGTTTGAAGGTTATGTCAATACAAGTCAACGCCAAGCAAGATTTTAAACGAATGTTTAAAAACGACATTAATTATTACTAGACCCGATATTGTGTGCTACATGTGTTAAAAGTAGTATATGAATTTTATGTTAATGTAAGATTTTTTTAAAAAAATGAGGATGAATTATAGAAAATCTTGGCTGTACATTGAAGGGAAGCTAGGACCCAATGAAAGAGGCCTTCATTTCTGTGCTATGTTGTTTCTCCATAACCATAATCCGTAATAGTAATGATGAAAAAGCCTAAAGCATTGAGTTGGAATCACTTTATCAAGAGGCAAATGGCTAGAGGTAGGACCAAAGAAAATGAAGATATATAAAATATTTCCACAGTTTATTTTAGCAAACATAACCATACCCTTTTCTAAGTTAATACTTTTTACAAAGCAGTTAACTCCCAATTTGGTTTTGTGCCTATAAAACCTCAAAAATAACCAATCAGAATTCAAAGTTCTCATGGCCAAAGTGATTGGCTTGGTTCCCTTGTCTATTCCTCAACTAATAAAAGCCCCGATACAGAGGGTTGTTAAGCTGACTGGTATAACCACAGGGCTGTCTTAGCCATCATTTGGAGAAAACCTTTCTGAGATCGGAACTAGCACAGAAGAAAACATGGAGGAATGAAGGTATATAATTCCTGATGCTTTGTTTGAGAATGTGGATACATCAGAATGAATGAAAGGTAAGCCTAGATTTCCTAGATACTTAAGCAAATAAATTCATGTTGGTTAAAAAACAAAACAAAACAAAACAAAACAAAAAAAAAAAAAAAAGGAGGGGGGGAAGGGGAAGAGAAAACGCCTTCAAGTATATTTTTGTCCCTAATTATCTATAGACTCCACATCTCAAAAGAGGATACCTCTCTCTCTTTTGCCTTTTTCTAGCTCTGCAGTGGTTACAGAAGTGTTCTCAGTTCACTGGAAGTAGTGACTCCAGATTTTCAGTAAGCAAATCTAATGAAGAATTATTAGGAATAGCATAGGCAATATCTCTTAGTAACTGATCAACTCCATTAACTAGTTATAAAGTGGATAATTTTATCACTTTTATATTGGTTTCCTATTAAAAACAAGTCTGAAGTAGGTGAATAAGCTATGTGCCATCAAAAATGTAATTTAAACAAGAATAATTATAGCTCCTGGATTAATAAATTTAAGAATGAAAAAACTATTATTTTTTCCAGATAATTCAAAAACTTATAAACACAAAATTATATAATTAAAATTGAAATACAGAAACATGTAGAGAGGAAAAAATTAACAAGCCATTAGGGGCACGCTAAAAAGCATTAAATAAAACATTTTAAATTCTTTACTGAGATGTAACTTAAAAAACTGATTCACATCTCCCACTCTCCCCATTTCTTTTTTGGGAGGGAACCAAAATTTTTGGTGCCTAAACAAAAGACAGAACAAAACTGATTCGCAATCACTTACTTTGATTTTCTCTCATCATGTCCATCTCTTAGATTCCTGTCTTCTCGGACATCTTCTCGCTTTTCTCTGCGGTCCTCTCGTCCTTTGTCTTCCCAATCCCTCTGACGCTCTCGTTCTTTATCCCTTTCTCTTGCTCTTTCTCTTTCCCGCTCTCTCTCCCTCTCCCTTTCCCGTTCTCGCTCTCTCTCCCTCTCTCTCTCTTCTCTCTCTCGCTCCCGTTCTTTTTCCCTATCTCGCTCCCTCTCTCTTTCTCTCTCTCGATCATGGTCACGATCTCTTTCACGGTCTCTCTCCTTTTCTCTCTCTCTTTCCCTCTCCCGTTCCCTAGCCCGCTCTCTTTCTAGTTCTCTTTCCTTTTCTCTTTCCCGATCCCGCTCTCGCTCCCGCTCTCTCTCCCGCTCTCTCTCTCGCTCTCGTTCCCGATCTCTTTCTCTAGCTCTTTCATCTCTTCTATCATCCACTCTGTCTACTCTTCGTTCCTCTCTTCTTTCATCACGCTCAAGCTCGTCATTCCTTCCCTGATGTCGAATTGGTGAGCTTGGTCTTTGATCTACAATGAAAATCAAGTTTTGTCAGTGATTAATTTGACAGATAACCAACCTATGGTAAAACAGTATGGCAAATTTTAAATTTTATGTGTATAGGGTCACACTGGCAATAATATAAATCAGATATCACCTTTATATTTAATTTAATCATCCAAATAATCACCCCTAGATGTTTAAAAATATTTTTTCTTAAAGGTATTTTTTTTGCCCTCTAACTAACATGTTTTCTGTTCCCCATCAGTCCCCCACCCACCTCCCGTTGATCCACCTTTGATCTTTCTCTGCATGCTCCTTACCCTACCTCCAGCCCACTGCTCCAACCCCACTTTCTGCCATCTCTACCCTTCACCTCTGATCTTCTCTGTCCCCCCAGCAGGACCTGAGAACACTGGTGGCAAAGGATAGGGGCAGCAGGAGGTGTAGAACATAGGAGCTGAAGGAAAAAAAAAATTTCCCTCGTAAGTCACACCTCTAATTTCAGGCAAAAATATATACACATAAAAGTGCAGCTATTATGTGAGGAAAAAGTAGTAGAACAAAACAAATATTTGTTGCTGCAATATCAATTTATCATAAACTAAGATATTAAGGGTACTGAAGTTTAGCAATCTTGAAATAATCAAATGTAAAAAGTGTTTCATATAAGTGACATATTTACAATTAATAACTATTAAAGTTTTATTTAATCACATAACTGATTACTCAGATGAAGAGTTGTTTTCTTAAAATGAGTTAATAATCTTATTACATTATATATATGTATGTATATTTTTTGATACATAAATCATATAAACAAAATTAATGCTTGATGTTCAAATGCCCAGTGAAGCAAAAAATTATTCTGGGATCAAAAAATGTATAATAAAATGGCATGCACTCTTCCATAGAGATAGCCCCTTTCATATTATATAATAACATTTACAGGTTAATTATAAAGTCATACTATAATATGGCCAACAGATTTTAAGTGGCATATCTAACATCAACTTATTAAGCAGAATAATTTTATGATATTTCTAAGGAAGGGCTCAATATAGTAATTTAAATTTCCTTTCTTACCACATATGAAAGATAATTACCCATATATAGAAGTTATAGATTGACATAAAAGTTTGTAACATTTTAAAGCTAAAACAAAACAAAACCTTGTCCCCTTCCTCCTTTTTCTCTTAAAAACACAGAAATTATACTCCAGAAGTTTGTCAAAGTCATAGAGATGGTAAATACATTAGGACAGTAGAATTAGAATTCAGTTCTCTTAAATCCTTTTTTATTTTTGCTGAAACTACTTAAAAAGGTTTTATTATATTACACTTTTGATTCCCAGAACCTATATGACTGTGTGAATTTCTGGTTTGAGGGTCATAGTAATGTCACAATGATTACAAAATGTTGAAACAAACCCAATCTTATAGTAATAAGGAAATACCAGGGATAGATAACCTTTTTCTGCCAAGGGCCATTTGGATATTTATTATATTTGTTGTCTATAAAACGTTATCAACTTAAAAATTATCCTGCTATATTTGGTCAAACATTTATTTAGCTCATCCCTAATGCTTGGCAGGGCCAGACCAAGGGATTTCTCAGGCCTTATGGGACCATGGCCTGGATGTTCCCCACCTTTGGAATTGACTATTTTACCCAGACATTATTTTGATGTATAAAAAGTATTTTACCAACAAAATAATAATCTTCCTTACTTCAGAGAAAATGAAAAAAATAAGACCAGTTTAATGTCTAAACTATCTTCTCCCCCCCCCAAATGTGTTCTTTGAAGATGTGCTTCTTTATCTATTTCCTTTATCTAAATGAATGACATACCCATTCATGAAAGTTGGAAATCTCTAAATCTCATCATATTCAACTACCATCAATTTCACTCTCAAAATATTTCTTCTTATTTCCTCTCTTCAGCCCTACAGTTAATATTATTAACTCAGACTTTGATAAGCTCTTCTTAGATAGCTATGTCATCAACAGTCTAACTGGTTGGTATCCTTGGTTTTCAGTCTTTCCCTAAACTCTCATAGTTTTGATAAAAACTCTTCTTCTGGATGCTTAAAGGATATATGCACCCCTATGTTCATAGCAGAAAAATTTACAATAGCTAAAATTTGGAAACAGCCTAAGTGCCCATCAGCAGATGAGTGGATTAAAAAACTGTGGTACAACTACCTAATGGAATGCTATACTACTATAAAGGAGCTTTTACCATTTGCAACAGCACAGATGGAACTGGAGAGCATTATGCTAAGCAAAATAAGCCAGCCAGAGAAAGATAAATATCTCATGATTTCACTCATATGTGAGATATAATGATCAACATAATTTGATGAACAAGAATAGATCCAGAGATAAATGGGAAGGGGGGGTTTTAGAGAGCAACCAAAGGACTTGTATGCATGCATATTAGCATAACCAATGGACACAGACACTAGGGCAGTAGGGGCTTGTCTGGGGAGGGAATGGTGAGGTGGTGGTGCTAGTGGTCAACTGGGGGGAAAGGAGACATATGTAAAACTTTAAACAATTAAAAAAAAAAAAAGCAGTGAAAAGGCAATTAAATACAAAATTTTCAGCCTGACTAATAAGCCTGAAAACTTGGCCTATCAACTCTGAACAATCCTTTTTCCTAGCTTCTTTCTTTTTCCACCACATATAGCATACTTCTACTCCAACCTCATACTTCTTTACTACTTCAAAATATATTTCTTTTAGTCTTGTATGTCTGCACATGCTGCACCTTCTCCCTGCAAAGTGTTTCACCCAAGAGTTTAGACAAACTCTTACTATCCTTTAGACCCTAGTTCAGATGTTCCCTATTTAGGAAGCTTTCTTGGATTTCCTCAGAATTCTGTTTGCTCCTTTTTCTCATAGAATTTTATATAGTAGCATTTATCACACTTCAATTGTCAATTTGTACCTACTAGGTGTACTGGGTAATGCTCATTTTTTTCAATAAATGGAGTTACACATATGTTCACATATATGCGAACTGATATGTATTCTATTGTGTTGTATAGACAACAAGCTTCAAAACTTCATATGTCACCCTAACTGGCTTGGTTCAGTGGATAGAGCGTCAGCCTGTGGATTCAAGGGTCCCAGGTTCAATTCTGGTCAAGGGCATGTACCTTGGTTTCGAGCACATACCCAGGAGGGAGTGTGCAGGAGGCACTGATCGATGTTTCTCTCTCATCGATGTTTCTAACTCTCTGTCCCTTTCCCTTCCTCTCTGTAAAAAATCAATTTTATACACACACACACACACACACACACACACACACACACACACACACAAAAACAAAAAAACCCTTCATATGTCAAATTTTCTGAAGGTGTTAACATCATAGATATTTTGACACTTAAAAACTTCTAATTTCATGCCAAAAACCATTTGCAGAAAGTTTTAATTCATTATTTTGAAGAAAAGTGCTGCTGAATACTTCGGGAAGTTTAAAGTGAACATGCTCCATCTCAAGACACTTGTGAACGCTGGTTTAAATGCTATGAAAGTGATGATTTCAATGTGAAAGACAAAGAACGTCCAGGTCAATTGAAAAAGTTTGAAGACCAATTACAAGCATTAATGGATGAAGATCTGTGTCAAACTTAAAAACAATTTGCAGAAAAATTAAACAGCCCTGACCAGTTTGGCTCAGTGGATAGAGTGTCAACCTGCAGACTCAAGGGTCCCAGGTTCGATTCTAGTCAAGAGCATGTACCTTGGTTGTGAGTAAATCCCCAGTGACAGGTGTGCAGGAGGCAGCTGATTGATGTTTCTCTCTCATCAATGTTTCTCTCTCTCCCTCTCCCTCTCCCTCTGTAAAAACATAAATAAATTATATTAAAAAAAATTTTCCACCTTTGCTACACAATCAAAATAAATAAATTCAAATTAAAAAAGAAAGACTAAACGTTGCTCAGCAACCAAGTTCCGATCATTTTTACAAGCAATGAGAAAGATTTTAAAGGAAGGAAAATGGGTGCCAAATTAACTGAACGAAAGACAAATGGAAAACCAAAAAGTCATCAGTAAAATGTTGCTTCAATGGCAGGAAACTATTTTTTTGCATCGAACTGTGACTGGTGATGAAAAGTGGATTTATTTGGAGAATCCCAAATGCACAGTCATGGGGTTGATCCAGGTCAACCATCAACATCGACTGCAAGGTCAAGTCGCTTTGGAAAGAAAACGATTCTCTGTGTTTGGTGGGATCAGGAAGGTGTGGTGTATTATAAACTTCTAAAACTAGGTGAAACCGCTAATACTGGTTGCTATGGACAACAAATAACTTGAACCACGATTTGATCGTGAATTGACCAGAATGGGCTAGAAGACACAGCGAAGTAATTTTGCTTCATGATAATGCACCATCACACACTTCAAAAACAGTTAAAGACACATTAAAAGATCTTGCCTGGGAAGTATTAACCCACCCGCCGTATTCAACAGACCTTACTCCTTCAGATTACCACTTGTTCTGATATATGGCACACACACTTTCTAAGCAGCATCTCAAAACATACAAAGAAGTAGAAAATTGGGTCTCTGAATGGTTTGTCTCAAAGCAAGAAAAGTTCTATTAGAATGGTATCCACAAATTACCTGAAAGATGGGGGAAAAGTGTAGCTAGCGATGGACATTACTTTGAATAAAGCACTTATGATGTTTCTCTTGAAATTATTGTGTTTTCTTTGATTACAAAATCTGCATTATTAACCAATACACCTAATATTTAGGCTATGAAGAACTAAAGGGAAGATTTAAATTCCTGAGCACAGAACATGTGCTTGGGCGCATCTCGAACATCAACCTCCTTTAATCTACCTACTGTCACCATCGCTAGTCTCACTGATCTTCTTTCAAACTAGGACATATGAAAATTTCCCATGGCATATACTCTTCTTTTGGCACAGAACATTTTTACCCTCAATCTGGGCAATACTAACATCTCTTGTATTTATTTCTCTGCATAAATGTAATGTCTTTAAAAAAAAAAATCATAAATACTCTAGATAAAAAAATCTCCAACCTTTACTTCTATATTTGGGTCCCTTGCTTGTTTCCTTGATAGCACTGAATCAGTTTCTTTCTCTCTTTCTTTTTCTTTGGGGCGGGGGGTGGTGGTTATCTTCACTTCTATTAAGTTCTACAAGCACAGGACTACTGTACTTTAAGAACCTAGCAAAGTGCGTGGGGACTCAGTTAACATTTGTAGAATATCATTAACCTCAAAAATATATTTCTACCTCAGTTAGACAAATAATATTTGTTGAAATAGTTATAATAAAGTAAAACAGAAAAAGAATAGGACTTGCAGTCAGAAGACCTAAGTTTGAATTCTAACTATGGAACTTATTTTTCTGTAATATTGGAAAAATCACTACCTTTCTCTTGGTCTAAAGCTCCTAAATTATAAAACATGGATTTTATATCTACACTTACAAGGATATTTTGAAAAAATTTTATGATTTTTAAAAATATACATATGGTCTTTGATTTAATATTATAAAAGGATATTAAGTCAGAGAATACATATAATGCAACTATCAAAGTTGTTGGTAACTTAATGCATGTGGGGTTGAAATAAATATAAAATTGAAACCAAATACTACTACTGAATTCAGGCATGACATGTGGAAAACCTGAGCAAGAATATGAAACTAGGAAAAAAAAAAAAAAAAAAAAAAAAAAAAAGGCATTACCAGGACACAGTGTGAAAGAGAGTAAAAAGAGGTGAATCAGTGTTAGGAAATAAAAAATTTCAGATATAAACTCCAGCCTCATCTGTGACTAAAGAAATCATACACGTACCTTTTTTTTTTTAAAAAAAAAAATATATTTTATTGATTTTTTCACAGAGAGGAAGAGAGAGGGATAGAGAGTTAGAAACATCGATAAGAGTGAAACATGGATCAGCTGCTTCCTGTACACCTCCTACTGGGGATGTGCCCGCAACCAAGGTACATGCCCTTGACCGGAATCGAACCCAGAACCTTTCAGTCCGCAGGCTGATGCTCTATCCACTAAGCCAAGCCGGTTTTGGCCATACACATATCTTTTAACCTAAATATTAGGCTTACCCTAACAAACTCAACCTAACCAGCACTAATTTCATCTAAACTCCCTAAAGTACATTGTGTCTTAGAGACTTCATTCATTCTCCTCTCAGTACTTCCTTATTAATATACTATATAACCTCTTTGATTCAGCTCACTGTGAAGCATAAATATTCAATTCTCCACTTCATCAAGTTTTATATTATACTAATCTCAGCATTACAGCAAACCTTACTTTAGTAACCAGCCAAGGTTAGTTAGACCTTCATAAAATCGTAACTATTCATAGCCCTAATATGTACAGGCAATAAAAGCTTATTAAAGAAAATACTTAATACCCTTCCTTAAATGCTTTCTAGTAGCCTTGTTTCATAATTTATTTAAGAGATCACCTAATAGAGTAACAGAAAATGCTTAGATTAAGATATATAAGAATCTAAAATTAGCTAAAGCAAGCATTACATATTCTCATGAAAGAAAGTTAAGTAAAATGTTTCTCTAGAAAACCCCCGTCCAGTAATTATTTTGTTTTTCTTGTTCCTCTACCACAGTCCTTACAAAACTTTATCACTGCTAGTGAGAGAATGGCCAGGATACTCAGATGATAAAGTTGAAGTATCTCCTGAGTCAGAAATTCCACAATGCTACCACAAATCTACATTTTTTATGAGCTATTTGGTTAATGTGAGAGACATACAAGTGCACCTCAGTTCTTTGAGTGTATAACTACCTACACGGTCACCCAGCAGGTCATGATAGCTAGTTATTTACACCCTTTTCCCTAAACTAAGTATATAAGAAAAGATTATATGAGTAAATACAATAGCTTCAAATGTGTCAACAAACAAAAATCTAAAAGACATCATTCACTAAAAAGTAAACTGATAACTACTTAAAAAATAGTAATTTTCCCAATCAATGTTGGTCATTATTTAATAATATTCCATTTGACAAACCTCTTTCTCTGTTGTCACGACGGTCTCTTTCTCCATGTCTTCTCTCAAAGGAGGAATCTCTTGTTTGATCTCTAGTGTCTCTTTCAGGATATCTGTCTCTTTCAGGATAACTACTTCGAGTTTCCCAGCTTTCATGATAGTTGCTACTACTACTGTGACTATCAATTTGAGACGCTCTTGTGCCTCGGCTTCCTAAAAAGGATATTCACACAAATGTTTACTTATACACTTCATTCAACAAGTTTTATCAGTCACAATTTTTCCAACCAAAACCCATACAGATAAAGGTGTTTTGCTTAATTCAAAAGTGTACTTATCATTGTTGAAAAGATATTAGTTGTTAGTTGTCTTATGGATATATATATATTATTGCTTTGATTACAGTTTATAATGAGTGAAAACATTCCAATTCAGAACCAAGGCACTTTGTCGACATTACGTGGTATCTAAAAATTTACATTAAAAAATTTGGGAAATGAATGGTCATAGTAGTCTTACTTGTAATACCAAAAACTGGAAAGGACCCAAATGACTTTCAATGCGGGTGTGGTTAAAACAGTGGCACATCCAAACCATGGGATACTACAATAAGGAACAAACTATTGACACATGAACCTCAAGAAAATTATACTGAATGAGAAAGCCAATTTCCACAGGATACTTGCAGCATGATTCCATTTATGTAACATTTGTGAAATAACAATTATATGATAGAGGACATAGTGGTTGCTAGGGATTAGGGGCAAGGGATTTAGACTGTGGCTATCCATCACAGGGAGTTTTGTGATGATAAAGTTGAGTATCTAGATTGTGGTCATGGTAATGCAAGGTTACACAGCCACTAAAGAAAACAGTACAGGCTCCTAAAAAAACCCCTAAAAATAGAATTATCATATGATCCAGAAATTCCACTGCTGGGTATATGTTCATAGGAACTGAAATAAGGATTTGGAAAAGGTATCTGAACTCCCATGTTCATTACAGCATTATTCACAACTAGAGGGTTGGTGCATGAAATTAGTGCACTGGTGGAAGAGGGGGGAAGGTGGTGGAAAATAAATCAGTTTCACTAAAAAAGAGATGTTGACAGGAAGCCAGGAAGGCTGGTCAACTACCTTAATTGCTCTAACCTTTAGTTGAGACATTGTTAGCTGAAGCAGAATCTACCTTGTTTGTCCCGTGAAACTTTCTGTTATTTCCTGCCTAATGGCTACATATAAATTTCTGTTTATGTTGCCTACGATGTTTCCCCCAAAACCTCAATAAAAGGGGATGGAGGGCCAGAGGAGGTAGTAGTTCTCCCTCTAGAGTTGGACTACCGCCTGGCCCCCCATATAGCCAAGTTGAATTTCTTCAAGTTTCAAGTCTCTTCATTTGTGTGCAGTCCTTCTCTAGAACCTGAACCCTGAATTGGAACTCTTTCTACGTGGGCCGTGAAAGAGATTCCTACAGGGGGGTCCCTACAAGAGATTCCTACGGAGGGTGCAGAGTCCAGCCTGGGATATCCTTCTCACAATCCAGGACTGCTGGCTCCCAACTGCTCACTTGCCTGCCAGCCTGATCACCCCATAACCATTCCCCTGCCAACCTGATTGATGCCTAACTGATCCCCTGCCTGCTGGCTGGTCACCCCTAACTGCCCTCCCCTGCCGGTTCGGTCGCCCCTAACTGCCCTCCCCTTCCGGCCTGGTCCCCCCAACTACCCTCCCCTGCAGGCCTGGTTGCTCCTAACTGCCCTCCCCTGCAGGTCAGGTTGCCCCCAACTGCCCTCCCCTGCAGGCCTGGTCACCCCTAACTGCCCTCCTCTGCTGTCCTGATCGCCCACAACTACCCTCCCCTGTTGGCCATCTTTGACCACATTGGGGCGACTATCTTGTGTGAGGTTCAATTTGCATATTCTCTCTTTATTATATAGGATAGCCAAGAAATGGAAGCAACCTAAATAAAATGTGGTAAATATATATAATGGAATATTATTCAGTCTTAAATAAAAAGAAAATCCTGCCATTGGCAACAACATAAATGAACCTGGTGGACATTATGCTTAGCAAGATAAGCCAGACATAGAAAGACAAATACCACATTATATCACTTATATATAGAATCTAAAACAGTCAAACTCATAGAAGCAGTGAGCAGAATAGTGGTTGCCAGGGACTAGAGGGAGAGGAAAACAGGAAGGTATTAGTAAAAGGGTATAAAATTTCAGTTGTACAGGATGATAGTCCTAGATATCTACTGTATGTTATAGTGCCTATAGTTAGTAATAATGTATCAGAAACTACAAAATTTGGTTAAAGAGAGAGAGAGAGAGAGAGAGAGAGAGAGAGAGAGAGAGAGAGAGAGAGAGAGAGTAGATCTTTTGTTAAGTATTCTCATTATACACATCTATACTAATAAAAGCCTAGGTGGCCCTCACGTGCAACATCATCATAAGATGGCCACCACAAGATGGCCAAGCGCACAGTGAAGACGGGGTGTGGATGTCCCCCGTGTGGTGAGGGCTGGAAGTCCTGCGGCTCTGTGTGGTGCAGAGGCCAGTTCCAGCTTCTCCGCTGCCTCGCACAGAGGAGGCAGGTCATGGCAGGGGAGAGCAGTTGGGGGCGATCAGGACAATAGAGGAGGGCAGTTGGGGGACAACTGGGCTGGCAGGCAGAAGCATTTAGGAGAAATCAGGCAGCAAGTGGCTAAAAGCCAGCAGTCCCAGATTATGAGGGATGTCTGACTGCTGGTTTAGGTCCAATCTTACAGGGCCTAAATCTCGGACATTCTCCGAGGTGTCCCAGACTAAAGAGGGTGCAGGCTGGGCTAAGGGACACCCCTCTCGGTGCACAAATTTCAGGCACTGGGCCACTAGTCCTATATAATAAAAGGCTAAAATGCAAATCCACTGAAAGGCAGAACAAGGGGCCACTATGATGAGCACTGACCACCAGGGGACAAACACTCAGTGGAGGAGCTGCCCCCTGGTGGTGGGTGTGCTCCCCCTGGTGGTCAGTGTGTTCCCAAAGGGGGAGTGCCGCTCAGTCAGAAGCCGGGCTCATGGCTGGTGAGCACAGCAGCAGTGGCCTCTTCTGCCTCCGCAGCAGCGCTAAGGGTATCCAACTGCCAGCATAGGCCTACTCCCTCTGGGCCTCTACTCTATATACATAAAAGCCCAGTGATCAGCATGGTCAGAATGACTGAACAATCAGTGGTATGATATGCACTGCAGCAGCCAAGCAGCCTGACCCAAGCCCCCATTCCCCCTTCCCCAGCTGGCCCAGGCCCTGATTGGCCCCCAACACCCCAGACATAGATGTTTAAGATAATCTAATTAGTTCTACAAGAAAAATAAAGCAATATCACAATGTAAGATTAACAAATTTTAATTATCATATCTATATACACACTTTTGAAGACATCAGTGCTTAAATGAATATATTATTCATAGCTATTCATTTAAGCACTGTTCCAAAAAAAAGGATTGAAACATCTAAATATCCACCAATGTAGGGCTTATTACTTTTACTAGAGGCCCGGTGCACAAAATTTGTCCACAGGTAGGATCCTTAGGCCTGAGTGGCAATCAGGGCCGATTTGGTTCCCCACCTCCCCCTTCCCTCACCACCCACGCACTTGCCCTCGCCTCCTCCTTCCCTCCTTCCCTCAGTGCCCTGCCGTTGCCACTGATCACCAGCCATGTTTTGTACCACCCCCTGGTGGTCACCGCACATCATAGTGAGCAATCGAATTTGTTTTCCTGGTTGAAGGCCTGAAGGGACACTTTGAATATTAGCTTTTTATATATATACTAGAGGTCTGGTGCACAAAATTTGTGCATGGGGGGGGGGGGGTCTCCTCAGCCCAGCCTGCACCCTCTCCAATCTGGGACATCCCTCTCACAATTTGGGATGACTAGCTCCTAACTGCTCACCTGCCTGCCTGCCTGATTGCCCCTAATTACCCCGTCCCCCCCCTTCCCCTGCCAGCCTGGTCACCCCTTACTCCTCCCCACTCCCCACTGGCCTGGTTGCCCCTCAATGACTCCGTCTCCCCCGTTGGCCTGGTTGCCTCATGCAGCCTGTTTGGTTGTGATAGTCACTTAGGCTTTTATTATTATACATATACTATATAGATGGTTTATCTATTAAATAAACACTATGCACCAGAAAAAGACAGTGGCTGTTTACCAAACTGAGTAATGTGGAATTATTTCCAATATATTTTTTAAGTAAAAACAGCAGGGTATAGAGCAGAATATAGTTAGTTGTGTTTTTTTTTTTTTTAAATAAGAGTATTTTTTATTTACATTTATAAAATGTAAATAAAAAAGCAAAGGACTAAGAAAACCCAAGACAACTATGAAGAAGATGAGGGGCCTTTAGCTTAATGTGAAGCTGTAATATTGACCAACAGACCAATGAAAGGAATGAGTAATCAGGCTGTGCAGCAGTGTTTTGGGGAAGGGAGAAAGGACTGTAGAAGAAGACAAAGTTAATTCATTTTAAGAAGTCTGGAGATAGTCAAATATATTTTAGGTAGTAGTTTTATGATAAGACAAATGCATTTTTAGGGAAAGACTAGAAAAATGGCTCAAAATCCTGATATGTGATGATCTGAGGTGTTTTGAAGCAAGTACAAATACTGAAGAATACACAAATTAGTCATTTCTGACCACCAATTTTGAAAGCCCACCATTTAACCCTATTTTAATGATTATTTTGAAATTAAATGTAGTATAGAAATTATTTCCTTTTCCCTTTTATTCTCCTGAGAGCAATTTTCTTAGTGTTTCACATTAATCAAGATTTTAGGCATGATATAATTCAAACTGGGGGTCTAGTTCAGGCCCAACTTACCTTTTGTTACTTTAGTTCACAATTCCTATTCAGAATTAAGAGGTAATTAACTGAAAATTACTTTGACAAAATAATGACAATAGATGTAGAAATAATATATTTAGAAAAGAAATCTTAAGAGATTTAATAATTTCTATATAAATATACAAGATACAGTTAACTGACAAGTCAGATATCTTACCCTTTTCAGGTAACTCTGGACCTCTTCCCCTACTTCTGCCCATCCGATCATTCCTAATTTCACCTCGAGACTCACTTCTGGAATCATTCCTTAATTCAGTACGAGAACTTTCTTCTCTCAAATGGTTTCTGCCATAACTTCGGGATTCTTCAGGATATGTATCCTCCTTTCGATGAGTATCTCGACTTTCACGGTCCCTGTAGTCATGGGCATCACGAGTAGACCGAGAATCTCTGGGATCACGGCTCTCCTTGTTATCTCTGCTATACTCTCTCATCTCCCTGGAGTCCCGAATGTCTCTGGAATCTCGGAGCTCTCTCCGGTCTCTAGTATCTCTGGCATCTCTTCGATCCCGAACATCTCGAGGTTCTCTATCTTCTCTGTGGTCTCTAGAAGAGCTCTGATCCTGTTCATACTCTCGTTCATCTCTTGTGTCCTTTTCTCTATCCCTTTTGCCTCTAGTCTCTGTAATGCAATTTTGGAAATAAAAACCCTCAATATATTTAATATGGAACTTTAAAAATTTTATTACAATGATAATGCATGTTCTTTGAAGAAAATAAAAGGAGAAAATATGGTCAAGAAAATTAAATCCATCCAAAGCTAAAATTCCAAAGGTAATTTTTACTAATGCTTACATAATTGTTTTTTTTTTTATGACTAAACTCTAAAGATCTTACCCTACCCCAATTTACCCATACTTGTTTCTTTAAAAAAAATTTTTTTAATTGATTTTTTTCCAGAAAGGAAGAGAGAGGGATAGAGTTAGAAACATCGAAGAGAGAGAAATATTGGATCAGCTGCCTCCTGCACACTCCCTACTGGGGATGTGCCTGCAACCAAGGTACATGACCTTGACCGGAATCGAACCTGGGACCCTTGAGTCCGCCGGCCAGTGCTCTATCCACTGAGCCAAACCAGTTAAAATCATACTTATTATTTAAACAATTGAAACAAATGAATTGATCTCATATAATTACTGGTTTTTAAGAAATCACTTTGAAATACAGAGGCACACATTGACTTTAATCATCTCTACCAAATATTAGGTCAGATTAGACCACAGGTGTCCACCTCAAATGGCATTAAAGACTTTATAGTTGCCTACAGTGAATAAGCTAAATGGCAAAGGCAAGGATTTGATATGTCTCCATCCCTTCTTGTAAACATCTATTACTTCTAGTCCTCTTCCAATATCAACTGGCTTAAAAATATGTTCACTTGATAGTGTTTTCTTTTCATGGAGCCCCCATCTGTCTGTAGAAATACATCTAATTATTATATATATATATATTTTTTTTTCTTCTTTTTTTTTTCTTTTTTCTTTTTCCCAGTCTAAAGCTTTACATGTCTCCTTTTCCCCCAATTCTCCCCCGCCCCCCCAAGCCATTTCCACCCCAGGCAAGCTCCCACCGCCCAAGTGTCTGTGCCTATTGGTTATGCTAATATGCATGCATACAAATCCTTTGGTTGCTTTCTAACCACCATCCCCCCCCTCCCCCCATTTGTCTCTGGTTCCATTCTTTTTTAAAAAAATAAGTATTTTATTGATTTTTTTACAGAGAGGAAGAGAGAGGGAGAGAGAGCTAGAAATATAGATGAGAGAAACATCGATCAGCTGCCTCCTGCACATCCCCCACTGGGGATGTGCCCGCAACCAAGGTACATGCCCTTGACCGGAATCGAACCTGGAACCCTTCAGTCCGCAGGCCGACACTCTATCCACTGAGCCAAACCGGTTAGGGCTCTGGATCCCTTCTTGTTTGTCAAATTATGTTGCTCATTATATCCCACATATGAGTGTGGTCATGTGATATTTATCTTTCTCTGACTGGCTTACTTCACTTAGCATAATGCTCTCCAGTTCCATCAATGCTGTTGCAAATGGTAAAAGTTCCTTCTTTTTTTATAGCAGCATAGTATTCCATTGTGTAGATGTACTACAGTTTTTTTTAAGCCATTCATCTGCTGATGGGCACTTAGGCTGTTTCCAAATCTTAGCTATTGTAAATTGTGCTACTATGAACATAGGGGTGTATATATCCTTTCTGACTGATTATATTTTTTTCCTTACCTCCCTTTTCATTCTTCCACTAAAATTATTCTTATTTCAGAAAATGACATCTAGAGAGGAACAAACATCTGCTATACTCTTGTATGGAAGGTTAAAGAAATGTCCTCCTTACAAAGAACCTAAACACATATAGATTCTTCCAATAATATAAGCCACTCTTATCGCAAAAAAAGCAATCTCCCAAATACTCAACTGTATACTATTCCTCTTCATTAGTGTGTTTAATAATTATGTTTTGAAATAAAGAGTTTTCATTCAGTAGTCACTAAAGAAATATTATTATTAAAATACTAATGTACTGATCTTATTCCAAAATCATGTACACAGGGATAATTTTATAAAATAGGTGCTCTCTCCAGTCTCTACTTATGTATCCATTATTTTCGTGAATAAAAAATTTGATTAATTATTGCTTGCATTGTTGATAGGAAGAGAACGAATAAATTCAATATGATTCAAGGGAGACTGCTATACTATACTCATAAACAGCATTCTAAAATGTATATTAAACAGAAATGTTGTTACAAGTAAGCAAATATTTTCTGAGTACTCATTATGTTAAAACTAACTGAGGAGAGGTTAGGGAAAAACTTGTCAAGGTAAATAAACAAGGACAAGAAGCTTATACAAGTACAGAGATATTAGAGATATAACACTATATTGTCAGGTAACGATAACTCAGCTTGAACAGTGTAACAAATTCAAAGTTAACTTAATTCTCAGGGATCTAAGAATGGAAACTGCTTTGTTTACTTTACTTCTTTCTTGAGTTATACCTGGAAAACTATCACTTGGTTTGCACTCACCTTTTGAATGCTCCCCCTACTCTCACCTCTTTATCAAAACACTTTTGATGCTTTCAAACTCTGCCCTCTGGTTGGCTGCTTCTCATTCTTTCACCTCATTATTTTTTAAAAAATTATCTCAACAATTAGGAGGGTGCACTAAAAATAAGATGACCAAAAATTTCTAGAACTCAAGAGTACTCAAGTAAAACTTTAAAAAATATATATATTATTGACGTTTTTACAGAGAGGAAGGGAAAGGGATTAAGTTAGAAATATTGATGACAGAGAAACATTGATCAACTGCCCCTGCACACCCCCTACTAGGTATGTGCCCATAACCAAGGTACATGCTCTTGACCAGAATCGAACCTGGGACCCTTGAGTCTGCAGGCCAATGCTCTAGGCACTGAGCCAATCAGGTTAGAGCTCAAATAAAACTTCTTAAAGAAAGCACCAACTTAGTATATATATAAATAACTAATAAACATGCTAACAGCTTACATGCCCATGCTATTAAGCACCTCATATTGTCCTCAAGACCTCTCCTCTGTGTGTTTAATAGAAGGCTTAATATAACAGAGTTCTCACCTATCCTTTATTATAATAATAAATCTGAATGTTCAAGTCTTAAGTTAAAAAAAATCAACTTAAATGACTTTTAAAAATCCAGATAAAATATAGTGCATACCTTCCCTCTTTTCATGACGCCGATCATGAGACTGTGAAGTTCGTTCATGATCATGCCTTCCTTTCTCTCGCACTGGAGAGCGATGTCTTGAAGGACTTTGCTTTCTCTGAGGAGAAGACAGGGAATGTGAAGGATAAGGCGAAGTAGAACATCGTAAAGGTGGAGTTACTGTCCTCTGATAAGATGGTGAAGGAGTTCTTTTTCGATGAGGAGAAAGAGAATGTCTTTGAATAGATGATCCTGACTGTGAGGAAGATGAGTGATGTCTAGATGACAAAGGAGAATGATGCTGTCCTGCAGGGGAAGTAGACCTATAAGAAAAAAATAACATTAATAAAAAATAGTTTAAGAGCCTTCATTTTTAGCCAAAAGAAAATACATTTCCCCCCCAAATAAAACTGCAAAATAATTGCATGTAAAAAAGCTAAAACTGTGAATAATTCTAGAATAAATTTTAATTCACACTGCTATAAAATATTAAACTGACTTTTAAAGATTTGACAGATTTTAAAATCAGCTCTGTTTTAAAGAACAGTTCTAGAGGAGATATGCACTGCCTTTCTCCTAAGCTGTGGCTGCAAGGTAACATTCTCTCTGAGCAGATGGTCCAACCCTTACTTAAAATATGGAATTCACTTTCATTACAGGTAATCTCTGACAGAGTGACTAGGTACTTGGAGGGGGGAACCCACAGACAGCTAAAGAAAAAACATACTGGTAAGATCTAGATAGAAAGCAGCTGTGAGAATGCCTACACTTCAAGGTTGTGGGAAAGGGAAAAACTTAAGCCAAACCTAATCTGCCCTGCCCGAGTTGACATCTAGAAAATTACTAGGGTTAAGAAAAGAATGTACTGTCTATAGTTTCATCTATATTAATAAAAGGGTAATATGTGAATTAGACCGGACATCTTCCAGACAAAGCCACCATGGCAGGGGCCGAGGCAGAGGTGGTTAGGGGCGATCAGGCCAGCAGGGGAGCAATTAGGGGGCAACCAGACTGGCAGGAAGGTGAGCAGTTAGGAGCCAGAGGTTCTGGATTGCAAGAGGTATGTCTGACTGCCGGTAAGTCGGACATCCTCTGAGGGGTCCCGGATTAGAGAGGGTGCAGGCTGGGCTAAGGTCACTCCCCCATTCCCCTATGTATGAATTTCGTGCATCAGGCCTCTAGTATTAAATAATCTGCCTTCAGTTTTGGACAGCACAAAATGAGATTTAGTCTGTAAGTCTTGGTTTAACTAAGGCATTCTATACACTTTTAAAATCATCTTCTTTCACTGATGACAAGGAAATAACATACTGAATCACTTCTACAATCTATTATGACCTGGGCCCTGTCTACAATAATATGCAAAATGTGTGCATAATGAAGAGCTGGAATACAAACATTTATGCAATAATTAAAAACAGGACTAATATTTAAAATATAGCATTCTAGATTATCACATACGCAGATAAATAAGATATTCTTCAAATCATTTTGAAGTCTAGATGTTTACTCAAATAATTTAGAGGGCTAGAAGTTCCAGTAAAAGTATTTTAGAATTACCTTCAATGCTTATAATAATTATTACTTAAATTTGGTGGAAACAATTTTTCAGTTCAAGCTTTGAATAATCGAGCAATTGCATTAAGGTCAGAGCACCAATGTGTTGTCAAGTTATGGTTTCAGCTTTTAATCTATTTTTCTTCTTACCAATCTTTTAGGGGAAAGTATTTTATGAAAATTGTTGATTTAATTTAAGCATTTGTTATAGACTGAAAGTTTGTGTTATAGACTCAATTATTATGTGAAAACACCAACCCCCAAAATGATGGTATTTGGAGGCGGAATCTAGAGGAGTAATTAGGTTTAGATAGGTCCTAAGGATGGGGTTCCCACAATTGTATTAGTGTCCTTATTAGAAAAGGAAGCCACCAGAGTGCCCCTCTCTCTCTTTCATGTGAGGACACAATGAAAAGACAGACATCTATGAGTCCTGAAGTGGGCTCTCACCAGGAACCAAATCTGCCTGGCACCTAGACCTTGGATTCTAGTCTCTAAATCTATGAAAAATAAATGTCTATTTTTAACCTACTTAGCAATATGGTGTTTTGTAATAGTAGCCCAGGTTGGTTAAGATAGCACCTTTACATTCTCACTTTGTTACTATTGTTTTAATTTGAGGACTGAAGAACAGTGAAAAGAGAGGATCTGTTATCAAACAAGATGGATCAAATTATGGATGTGAGCCTGATTGTACCAAGAACTATGTTCATTCTACAAACATAAAAGGTGTGACTAATAAAATCATCTTGAAATATGATAAAATTATCAATACGGTGGCTTCTGGACTACTGTGGAGATATACAGTATTAAATTACATTTCCCCTTAGGATAGCAGTAATTCCAGATTAACTAGTTTTATGCTCTAGAATTGGCTGGTTTCTTATCTGAGGGATAAAAATTGAAACTTGAAATTCAAATAAAGAAAAGGGGAAAGGAGAAACCAAGATGGCGGCATAGGTAAGCACCTAAACTGCTGCCTCGCACAACAATTTCAAAACTACAACTAAAAGACAGAATGAACACTATTCAGAACCACAGGAAAGCTAACTGAGTGGAAATTCTACAACTAGAAGGAAAGAGAAAAGCTCACGGAGAATCAGAAAAGCCACAAAGGGCTGAGGTACAAAGACACACGTGCAAAGAGGAAGGGTAGCTGAGTGCCTGGCTGGCTTTCTCTCGAGGGAGAAGTTGAAAGCTCCTGACTGCACTGAACCCCAGTTCCGGGCAAGCCCCTGGGGACCCAGGCTCTTACGGGGGGAATCTGGACTGTCAGGTGGAAACTCAGGGGAGCCATGAAAGGCAGAGGTCTGGAGGCGTGTGTGCAAGTGTGCGCAGAGAGGACTGACTGCAGAGTGTGGTGCTGGCTTTCTCTAGCTGGAGGGAACTGGAAGTTCCCAACTGCGCTTAACTCCAGTTCTGGGCAAGAATCTGGGAATCCAGATTCATTGGGGGAGAAACTGGACTGTCTGGCAGTGGGTGAAATTCGAGGGCGGCTTTCTCTCCGAGGTGATTGCAGTGATTACCAAGGGACAATGAGACCCAGAAGCCTCATAAGGCAGGGCTGATGGGAAGCCAAGACTGTCAGTTCAGCCCTGAGACTCTGCCCAATACAAGCTGAGCACAGAGGCTTTTGCAATTTTGCAAGTCTTGTTTCATAAGCCTGTCTTCAGCACATAAGTTCTCCTGGCAGAGACACAGCCGATTCTCACAGCGAACTGGTCTGGAGGTCAATTCCTCCCAGTGATACCAACAACAATCAAGACTTAACTACAAAGCTGAACACACAGTCCACAAAGGGGTACACCAAGAGTGTCCACCTGAGGTGACTGGGGAGGCCAATCCACTGGGCCATATAGGACACCTAGCACACAAAGCTATCCTACCAACTCAGGGACCCTTATACTATTCTATTTTTATGTGTGTGAATAGTCCATAATAATGTAAATGCAATACTTTTTTCTACCCACTGTATATAACCAAGCAGCATTAATATACAGTTACTCAAGAAACTATCAATTCAGTCTATAGAATATGCTTGTTATTCATGGATTCCTTTCTGTCCTGTGGATCATGGTCACAGAATGAGATTTACCAGTCCAGAGCATGGTATTTGAACATGAATGATAAATAGTGAAGAAATCAAAGAATGAATTCAACAGATAACATTTTTTGTCAACTGTCTGAAATTTCTTATTTTAATTATTTTAATAAATAGGTGCAATCTCTAAAAGGAAATAACACTGCCAATTTGGTGGTAATTTGCTGATTTTAAGTTGAAGTAAAAACCAGTTAGCTTTAAATGACCACATCTGTTTTTTAATCAGAGCAAGATTCACGAGCATATTTGTACTTCTATCAAGAAGTAACATAACAACCACATAAAACTTACAACTAAAATATAAAACTATCATTCAGACTGCCTGAAATCTAGCTAAATGGAAGTCCTACAACTACGGATTCAAAGAATAAGCCACATTGAGACTGGCAGTAGGGTCAGAGATCTAGAATGGGCTGGTTCCCACATCCACGTACAGTGGGTAAATATTGGGAGGGGAGAACTACCTCAGCTGTGGAGGTACCCCCTGTGAAGTAAGGGGTCCCAGCCTCCAAACAGCCTCCCAACTTCCCCACCAGGGTTCCAGTGCCAGGAAGAGAAGTCCCCATAACTTCTGGCTATAAAAATCAGTAAGGATTGAGGCCGAGTAATATCAGGTTGTTGGAGTTCCAAGCAGTTCCTTTTATTATTATTATTTTTAAAAAATATATTTTATTGATTTTTTACAGAGAGGAAGGGAGAGAGATAGAGAGCTAGAAACATCGACCAGCTGCCTCTTGCACACCCCCTACCGGGGATGTGCCCACAACCAATGTACATGCCCTTGACGGGAATCGAACCTGGGACCTTTCAGTCCACAGACCGACGCTCTACCACTTAGCCAAACTGGTTTCGGCCAAGCAGTTCCTTTTAAAGGTTCCTGTGCATTCACTTACTCAAACTCCCTCCCTCCCAGCTCCAGTGCTGGGGAAATACATCAAAAGGTACCAGGGCATATGTAGAGGAAGTGAATTGTCTGGCATCGGGAGAGAACTGAGGGTATAGCTTTCTACTAGACAAAATTGCTTGCAGAGGACACTGAACATTTTCTGAGACTACCCCTCCCCCCCAATAGAGTCAGCAGGTAGGTGCTAATTCTGAATCTCCATCAACCTGAGTAATACTATTAACCCTGCTCTGGTGATTCCCTGAAATCTTGCTCCACCAAACTGGTAGACACACCCAAGCTTTTTCCATACAAATGGCCTGTCATGGCTCATGCTTCAGACTTTCCTAAAATTTCTCAAACAAGCAGCATCTGGCCTCAGTGTGCCCTTAACCTAGGGGTGTCGAACTCAATCAGAGAAGGGGCCAAAATCTAAAATCCAGCCTAAATCGCGGGCCGAATGGTTTACTGAACAGTCATAAACTGTCATTGTGATGGAAACGCAGCGGAGTGCAGTGATGACAGCGTGGTGTGGGCCACATTGCAAGGCCTGGCAGGACGGATTTGGCCCGCGGGCCTTGTGTTTGACACATGTGCCTTAACCATTCACTAAATGGCCCCAGGCTTGGTATTAGCAGCAGCTGACCATAGTTTCCAGCTTGGCCTTGCCTGGGCACCTCTAATGCTAGCTCAAGTAGCAACCACCTGCCATTACTTTGAGGCTCATGCTGGGTGGCCCCAGACAGGTGGTAGCTGACCTTGGCTGCACTTCTCAGGAAGTC